TGTACATACATGTTATACTTTATAGGCTACTTATCCACTGTTTTTTTTAATGTGTATGTGAGTTTGCATGAAAGAATACAGTTCTCCTTAACGAGAGACAACAATGTCATTGTATGCTACATGCAATGACAATAAAGGCATCCTAATTCTAGTTCTAAACTAATATTATTATAGGATAAAGTTCTAGTGTAGGATTTAGTGCCATCTAGCGATGAGGTTGGAGATTGCAACTGACTGAAACTTCTCCCATGTGCAAAGCATGTAGGAGAACTAAGGTGGCCATCACACAAAACACTAATGGCTTTATCTAGAGTCAGTGTTTGGTTTGTCCACTTACTATAGCAACATGGCGGTGCAACATGGCGGACTTTATAGACAAGGAGCCACTCCCTATGTAGATATAAACGGCACATTCTGAGGTAACAAAAACACAACGATTCTTATTTTCAGGTGGTTATACACTGAAGAAAACATATTTATTGTGTAATATTTCATTTCTGCCAATATATTCCCCTAAATCCTTACACTGGACCTTTTAGCCACACAGCTGTACATAAAGTACCCTAGATTTAATTAGCTACATCTTTAGGAAACTCTACCAGCTGCAGGACTTTTTACTTGCATCAGAGTATTTCTGCACTGTGGTATTATAACTTTTACAAATGATGTGAGTTCTTCCTCCTCCACTGCATTTTGGGAACATCTATTTATAACTCTTATGTCTGTCTGTTAAAATATGAAGCTACAGCTAGCTTTGCTCAGCATTAAGACTGTAAACAGGGGGAGAGCTAGCCTAGGTCAGTCCAAAGTTCAGAAATACACATATTAGCATTCCTGAAGCTCACTAGTAAACACCTGATTTGTTTGACTTGTTCAAAAAACATAAAAAAAACAAAACAAACTACAGGTTGCAGCAACTTCCACAAGTCTCAGCTGGTTGCCTAGCAACCTCAGGAGAGGACAAATCTCCAAGGAAACTATAAAGAAAACTGACTAAAAACTGCGTAGTTTCCTTGCAAATCTCCAAGAAATTATTCCTGTCCAAATACATAAAAAAATAAATGAATAAATAAATAAAATAAAATAATAATTTATAATAATGATAGTAATAATAATTGTAAACTGCAGCCCAAAGACACTTTTAAAAATAACTTGTTTTACTTAAAATGTGTAATAAAATGGCTGGTGAGAAATACAAAACAATTAAACTTTATTCTTTAATAGGATCTGCAGATAATGCAGCATTTATGTCACTAGGCCTGTAAAGGTTTGTTTGTTTGAGCGGTGGATTAACTGCACTCCACAGGTGTATGCAGATGTCTGCTCATTTGTTTGTTTCCCAGCCTGCCACAGGGAATTTGAACAAGAGCACAAAGGTCATTCTGACGGACCTCATCCTCTTTCAAGTTATTTGTATTCCTTGTTCTGGCTCAGCGGCCACACAATTCATTCCTGAACGTCTGGGTGGAGACGGCAGAGCTGGGGTCAAAATATTAATCATTCAACAACATGCGTGCATATAAACACAGCCTTTGATCTCACTCCAACACATTTGTTCTCAGGTAAGCTGCATTTGTCAGATCTGAGATTACATTTACAGGATAACTGCGATAGGCTACTTGAGGTAAAACTGAATTTGAAACCTATCACTTTAACTCATGGGCTGCTGCTAGTGTGTCCTAGTATTTTTTTTTTTTTTTTAAAAACCTTGACCTGATTAGGCTGCTCCTGTCCCCACATTATCTTCCCCACTCTCTGCCCAACACCTACACCCTGTGTCCAGCACATGAACTACACCTTCTTCCTCACTGATCAGAGGAGCTCCAAGAAAACAAAACCACAAGCAAAATAAAACCTCTTTTGATTTTTTTATTATATCAAAATACAAAAATTTGAGAGGAAAATTTCGTATGGGACTAAGCATTTGAAATGATATGGTGACATGAATACAACACTGCTTTCATATTCTCATAGACATGCCATATATAGAGCATAGATCATGTGCCAGGCCCATGTCTACGTCATGATGAGCCACCAGGAGTGAGCCTGTGCATTTTTCCCTATAAAGGCTTTTGATGGTGACTGTCACTACACCTCCGGGCCAGTTGGTGACAGGCCGGAGTGTTTTCTTACATCATAGTTCGTTCAGGTTTCCGTTTACTCAGTAAAGAAACGAGATCCATGGCAGTTGAACATGAAGAGTGAGTAAGACATGATCTCAGACGATACAGAATTCACTGGACAGCAGTGGCAAACGAGAGAAAAGTAATACAAATATTATACATAAGGCTTTGGTACAGCACCATACAGTATGAGTTAATTGCTCACAAAAAGTTAAGTGAAGCGTAATACCTGATGTAGTGACATAACAGAATGACGAGTTTAAAATCCGACAACAACAAAAAAAGAGAAACATCAGGTTATCGTTTTAAAAAAAGAGAAACGTAAAAAAAAAAAACATGTTTTTGCTTTGAGATATTTACATATGAACATTGTTGACTTAAAGAATGGAGACAAATTATGTACAAAATAAAACCAATAAACAACATATGATACAGAATGTAAACATGTGATGTACAGCACAGAGTTCAGTGGATGGAAATGAAATGAAATGTAGTAAATTTTCTTCCTTTTTAAGCACTACTTGGTTTGCTTGAGTATGAGCATTAGCTAAAACAGTCAACGATGTAGTGCTTATTGTAGCCTACGATAATAATACATTCTAGTTTCTCAGTGCTGGTACACATGAAAAAACAGAGAATATAGAAAATACTACATATTTCTATTTTCCGTCCAATAACAACCAGCTCAGATGTCCATGAATGATTGCTAAATAGGCGTTTTTGTTTTTTTTTTCTCTTTTTCTGTATTGTCTCTACATGCAAGATTAATACAATAAAAAATCAAATTGGTTCTAAGTATCATCCTACCAGCACCTAGTGATGCACTAAAAGCTGTAAGCAGAAAAAAACAAACAGAAACAAAACAAACAAACAAAAAAAAGAGCTAACAGTACATCCAAAGCAGCCCTCTTAAACGCTGTACATGTTTCTGTTGAATATGCAAAAAAGAGCCCGGAAGACGACATCCATTCGTTTTTAAAACCCACGGAGAGGATGTATGAGCTTTCCTTTCTACCAGGAGAATCGGCAATAAATACAAATGTGGTGTGACTCATGGCTATACTGTACAGTACTAGTAGGAATTCTACCGTCAAAAAGGGTGGTGAGATGACGTGAGACGGTTACGCCCCTGCAGTAGTGTGCTTGAAAACAGTGCTGTTAACCAAAGATGGTAGACCTAACAGGAAGTGTGTAGAAAAGATCCCCTCGTGACCTGACGATGCTCTCAGATTCCCTCCCACGCGTCCCGTGGTCGTGTACTAATCTAAATCAGGTTATGTTTCTCCTTTTTAGGCTGGGTTAATATTCTCAATATCATCACAAATATACTTTAGAGAGGGTACCTTGGAAGCACAGACAGACATTGCAAACACACTATAGAAAACAGGTCATCTTGAGTTCATCTGAATGTCACAAGTCTCTATTATTTGAGGTTATACTACTTATTTTTCCAGTATTGTCTATCACTGTCATCACACCATGATACTGTTATGATAAGGACCTATAGTGTCTACCGGAGCTAGTTTAGTTGCTCAAACACACAGGGCCGAAAGAGTTGCTTGTGGAAACAGAACAAAAAAAAGAAAAAAAAAATCTTTAGACCTCTATTCTACAGCACCACAAAGTTAAACATAGCACCAAGTCGTAATGTTCAAAGCAACTATGCCCTAACACACTTTTTCTTTATCAAACTAATGTAAACACAATTTCCTCCACAGCACGTATTGTACATGACTATAGCATGTCTGTGACTCTTAGAAAAAAGTTTCCTTCAGTTTATTTGCTTTGGACACCTGAAGGCGAAAACGATCTGGAGTGAATCTACATGTGTGCTCATGAACGGGCAAAATACAGTATTACTTGGTTCCAGGGATATTATTATAGAGGGCGACACACTTCTGCTTCTAAAGCTTTGTCCAATGGGCATTCACGTACTATACATCAGAAAATACTACTTTAACTTGTGCAGCCAGCGGGCTATGGCAATAATACATTGTACGGTACTAACATTAAGGTTTCTTTTCTTCTCAGATAAAATAATGTCTGCTAAAGTATGACAAATGAGGCACCTTAAAATGTTTTAGAAACATTATCCACTTAAAGCCGTACTGTAAGCAAATACTTTTATATATAATCTAATTTCTTTTTCCTTGGGGTCCCTTCCCCGTCTTTTCATACATCCTCATACAAGAACGTCTTCCTGTAAAACATGGTTTGATTCATCTTTACAAATACAATACATACCATGTACAGTACATAACAAATATAGATTTTTTTTTTCTTACTCGTATCTTACAGGAAACCAATTTGTTAAAGTAGAATATGCGCGTCGACGCTCACTTTCAGGCAATCATCACTCTCTCACTTGTCAAAAGAGATTTCAGTATGCAGACATTGAGTCGATTCATTCATGTGGATATTAGACCTCTGATTTGTTCGCAGCAGATGGAAACATATCTGATGTGACTTTGAGTGATAGAGTGCTGCAGGGATGCGCCAACACGGGTGTCAGGGTCGCCTTGGCCGATGGGATTTTTCCATTGGATTTTGGATGACTGCAAAAAATAAGCTCTGAGGCGAACAAAAAGTTTATGAGACTTATATGTTTTGTTCGGCAAGATAATCTTTACAAATGAACACCACTTTTATGATTTTTGAGAATGCAATCAGCGGTAGCATAAGGCTAATGTTAGGCTAAGACTTAGCCTAGTCTTACTTAGCTACTTGTTAGCAACTGTCATTTTTAATACACTTAAAGTCTTAAAAATTTTCAAGTGGGGTATTTACTGCCAAATGTTATGCCGTAGAACAAAACCTGAAAGTCTCTTACGCTTGAGTGTACCACAGACCTTATTTCAGGCATCTAACCCACTGACTTTGAGACAAGGGAAACAGGAGTGCTAAAATGCTAAGTCATTTTCGGGTATTAAGACTCATTCCTGCAGCACTCTATTGGCCTAGCGTTAGCAGGAAAAGGAACTCAGTTGTTTCATAGCTGTCTGAAGTAAAGAAAGCTTGGCTCAGAACCTGTGTGGGGGCCCGTTAGTTATTACCACATACAGGAATAACACACAGAGAAGTTAAACAATTTTGGACTTCGTGTGCCAGCTGGTCAGCTCACCAATCGCAGCCGCACTATAAACAACGTAATGGGTCATTCAATGTACTGTGACATCGGGACATTCATTTCCTGTACAGCAAAACATACATTCATTATCGGTTAGTGTCGAAAGAAATGAACAAACATACAGAGAAGTAGCTAGCAAGTAATATACAGTTGTTAAAGATAAACAGTCGGGTGGCCATTGTTTGTAGATTTCCCATTGCTTGTTAACAGCTTTATGAAGCAATCACATTCTCCTCTAACAGCTGCTGTTAAACATTAACGTCCTTACTCGACTGGTTTGTTCTTTCTTGCATGAAAACTCATGCGCAGTGCCTCTGTATTTTTCCACTGAAGCTATTGGATTTATTTGCCATTTTTTGAATTTAAGCTTTTTTTTATTTGTATGGGTATTCTGGTTCTGTCCTATTAATTAGATATACACAGTTGAAGCAGGTACCCATTTAAAATATAAATGTTAAAAAAACAAACAAAAAACAAACACAAAAAAACAAGAGTTATGCATTTTCCGTAGCATTTTCTCTCATGTGTCCTTGGCAGAGAAAGTAAAAACACAGAATATTGGAGTCCCTCACTCCCGCCCCCCAGAAGAGAAACATATGAGAAGGCGAAGGAAAAGGCAGTTTATGTTAGAAAAAACAAGAGAGAAAAGGCAAAAAAAGGCACCTCGAGACGTGCCACGTTTCACAAATGATTCCTCAATAATGAAATACATACTACAGTACACTTCACAATTCATCACCCTGTTCTTCTAACCCTACGAGTCCAACCTCTGTCGAGCGTGTAAGTCCCAAATTATCTTGAGAGCTCTCATGAAGGCTATGATCTTAATGCGGTGCTGTAATGATAAGTGTAAACACACTGAGCCATCAAGCACTGGAGTTGGCATTGGATCATACATGGAAAGAAACACAAGATGCCAGCCGTTACTGATAGTAAAAAGCTTCTAAATTAGATAAAGTTAGGCCATATTATCTGTCTGAATGAGTGCGGAGTGTGATATAAACCTTTTTATCCATACGTTTCATATGTAAAAAGGTCAAGTACGTACAGTATACCACAAGAATTACAGCAACTCTGCGTTTACTCTGAGGTATATTTTGTGGTAAGAACCCTGTGTTTAAATACTGACACTATTTGTATTGTAGGAAAGGTAGACTCATGTCCGTGTCCGAGGACGCACCAGGCTTCACAGTACACTGTATCACTGAAAAACCTAAAGAGATGGACCCCTCAATGACCAGTGAGTGAAAAATCTTTAATGTGTTGTGACATACTCAACCAACACATTTTTATTACTGTAGGAGGAAGCTTAATTCCCTTGTTTTTACTATTTATATACATTATATATTTTCAGAGCATTTTCAAGTGAAATTCCTCAGAGACAAGTGGTGGTGACAACTCAGAAAAGCCATTGTTCTTGTCTTCAAATGAGATTCCCAACCTCCCGGGGTAGTCAGCTGGATGTTTCCCGCTCCCCAAAACGCCGATTAACTTTTAGAGATTATAAGAAATGTATTAGCTAGAGACCGAGGCGGAGCAGGGAGAGCTGAGGTGGGGTTACTTTTTCAGGGGAGGTCAGTTTAGTCGAGTCCAATGGCTTGGTGGGCACACGGGTCAGCGGAGAGTCCCATAATTTGGGCCCTCGGAGTCTGCACTGGCCAGTATGCCTGTCTGGTCCTCCTCAGACCTCCTGCGGTGCAGGAAGGAGGTCAAATAGAGATAGGGGTTCTTCTTGTTTTGCCTTTTCCTCTTTCTGCGGAGATCCTCTCCCTCTTGGGGTGTCTGAGATTGCTGCTGGGTCTGAGAGGGACACACGCCTGGAAGGGAGGCAGAGAGAAGCACAGGAGTGACACACCATCCACATATTTCAATGATTAATCTTCCTGTAATCATCAGACAAACCTGTTCTACTTCCGGAGGTTGTGTTGTTATTGTTGTTGGCAGCCACTCCCTTGGCTTTAGTAATACAGTGGTGTAGCAGTGCTGGTAAGCTCTCAGACCCGGCAGGATCACTAGACGCACCTAGAGGTTCCCTGAGGAGGAGAGAGACAGCACAGCATACGTTGTTCTGCATTAATCCAACAGTCGTGTTCGGTCCCGTCTCAGATGTGAAAAGACAGAACGGCACTGTGCATTGTTATTTCCAGTATCATATGATTTGATGAGCTCTTGCACTTCTACTGAGAGCCCTTTCACTAAGATGATGAATTTCCACTTTCTATCTGCGGTGATGGATGATAAAAGTTAGACTCAAAGAAAGAAAGAAAAAGGGAAAGAAAAGAGAAAGTGAGAGAAAGAAAGAAGAGCGGACATAAGGTGGATTTGGTGAATTTATTGGCTATTAAGTTTCTTCTCAAACAATCATTACATGAAAGACCCAGTCAAGCATTTATAGAAAGTATGGTAATGCAGATTACACATTATTCTTAAAGGCTGAAGTGTTACTGATATATAGTGATCTAAAATTTTAGGTCTCACAATTGTAATTTAAAACCAGGGACATTTTGTAGTCTTATGGTGTGTTCACACAGAAAGCAAAGCAAGCGTTTCCTGTGGTGAGATTATATACAGAGTCATTGCACAGACAAAAATAGGCACAAATTTGTGCCAGGCGACGTGAGCAACGCTAACACCTATCAGCTTTACCAGGAAGTATAGAGAAGTAAATGGTACAGTCATCGTCCGTGGGCACCCAGACCTCTACGACTCAACGTCAGTGCTGTACAGAACAAAAAAAGAGTGGGCTCAGAGATTAGTGAGTGAAGCCATGGGAGTCGTTTGGCTTTTGTAAGCTATTTTGAATTGCTTCTCAGCAATATCCACATTGAATGCTGGTTCAGAGCACGAAGTCTCCATAATTACCGTGTTCGCATCACTTGAGCCCAGCTATGAGTTATACTTTACATGAACCATGTTAGCCATCAGCTGCCTCCCCCACCTGTCCCTGCCAGTTAAAACAGTTGGAGGCACACATTACTGTCTTTGCTTTTTAATGTACCCCGGGTTTTAACAGATCTGGGGAAAACTGCATGCTCCTACTCTGCACCTCGGACATGGAACAATCTTCAAAAAGATCTAAAATTAGAAACACTTATATCCATCGATAAATTTAAGGGCACCATTAAGAATGTGGTGACAGAGACATGTGCTTGTTTTTCTTGAGAGGTCACTATGTTTGAATAGTTGTTGTTTTATTGTAGGTTTTTGTATTATATTTTTATATTTGTTGCACTTTAAATGTGTTTTGATTGGCTGCTACCTCGGCCAGGTCTCTCTTGTAACAGAGATTTTCAATCTCAACAGGACTTCCTGGTTAAATAAAGGTTAAATAAATTAAAAAAGAGGCTCATTTCTTAAGCTAGCACAAAGGTAGCAGTGTTGTCTATTGGTACCAACCATGTCAACATAGCTTGTTGGGAAGTGGGCTAAATAATGCTCATCATTTAGGCAAAATTTTGGTGAGGGGACAACTGGCAAGAGGTCCCTTGAACTTTTAACTCAAGATATCTGAATGAAAATGGGTTCTATGGGTAATTACGGGTCAAAGTATATCAGTGCACAATTCCATAACTCTCCATACTGACATGGGTTTCAACTAGCCTTCAACACCATAATCAAATTCCTGAAATTCAATTATGGCTTTTGGTTTTGGTGCTCCAGCCCAAGAGTTTCAGTGGATTTTCAGTGCAGCCCTATCTGGCCACCCCTGTGAGAAATTTATGGGCACACCACTGGTTAGTTAACACAACCATTAGCACAGCTACAAAGGCAAATATTTGCCGGTTGCAAAATATGCTCCAGCTATATACCCACAAGCAATGTTAGGCAAAAATTTGCTTTGCATTCAGTGTGAACACAGCACTGGTGACCGTACTGACAATGGAAACAAATACACATTGCAGGTTTAGACAATGAGAGCAACTTCTGTGCTCACTCAGGTTTGGGTCTTCAAATAGTGACTGCTTCAGAAATGCGGGCATTATTGGTCTCTTTGCTGTATAAAACTCATAAAATGAAAATAATTTCTGGAACTATAAAATCACTGTTCCCATAACAACAAAGTCTTGTTGTAGACTCTTTTTTTTAAATATCTTCCAATACAACTGTTTTCAGCATTTCTCTGAGAGTTTGCTGAGTGTGATAATATGAAGAGTGTGTGCAGGTGTGCTCTAAAACAGAAAATAATAATCAGCTCTTTTTGAACGCTGAAGAACTATTTTCATTTCATGAGTGATACATGCTAAGTTGAATGGAAAATAATCAATGTTCAATAATCACAACAAGTTAAAGCAGCTTCACTGCCACAGTATGGTGTTTTACCTCATACCAAATACTCTGGTTTTGTTGTCCATCTCTCATAGAAAGATGCATAAAATCAAATTAGCCTCGCAAACTCTTTAACGTTTAAGTTCAGGTTCATGAGGCTCACTGTGGCTCTTTGCCTTCCAAAGAACTAAACACAAACAGCTTCAAAACCTGACTTAATGTTGCGTTAAGTCAGGTTGTTGCGCCAAACATGTATTGTTTCAGAAGGGTATAGGAATACAAAGCTTTAGAGATGCTTGTCCATCATTTGTCACTGTGGAGAGAGAGATTGAGAGCCATTAGCAGAGAGGGGGAGACAAATGTGAGAGACAGTCCTGGACAGATAGAGAACATTTCCATTATCACATGAACTGTGTGCAGAGGCCACAGCGTGTTAAATATAGTACATATCCATAAACATGAACACTGTACAGCACACTTTCATAAACATGAACACTGTGTACAGAGGCTTCACCATGCTGACGGGAGGAGATGGCAGGAAGAGGAAATGGCCGTTAAAGAACAAGTCACATGACAGGAGGAGGAAATGGCCATTAAAAAACAGTCACATGACAGAAAAACGAAAGCACTTAGGACAACAAATGTGACAAAGAATTTAGTTTGAGAATTGTTGTTATTTGTTTGGTCGTAGAGAGAAGTTTAGAGAATGCATGCATGGCATTTTGCACATGGAACAAAACTTTAAAGGGGAATACTCCAGTCTATTCATTCATGTGCGTCCTCTATTGATTCAAGGCTTTTTTTTTTGGTGCAGGGAAACATGTCTGTATTCAAAAGACAATCCAAAGACAAAAATGCTTCTCCACAGTCCAAAACCGCTCCTCGTGCTTGCTCACAAGCCTAATTACTGCAGCCTACGCCACAGCAGGCTTACTGTGCCTGGGAAGTGTATTGACAAATGTGTCCTGCAGTCATTATTACCATTAGTTGTACTTCACTTGAATCCAGCACAGAGGCACAACCCAAAGCGATTCCCCTTTAAAGGAGAGAGTGATTAGAGCCCTCCCCCTGCTGACCCCTCCCCTCTCAGACATGGGTCCGACCCTTACCTATTGCGGCGTAGGGGACCGGGTCACAACGCTGCCCAGATAGCTGAGATCAATCAAAAACAAATCACGTAAGACCCTTACCCTCTATAAAGCAGCAGCCCTATAAGCTACCTTCCCTTAGAGGCCAGTGATGGTGCAGGAGCAAGTCTCTGCTTCGTGGCTTTAGCTACCGTATGACTGTAGCTTCTAGGGGTGTGAAGTGGGTGTAAGAGGGCGCAGGAATGTGTGCAGTGAGGAAATACTGTGGGGCATAAAAATATATGAGTCTCAGCTATGTTTTTATGTAGGTGTAAAGGCATAAAGCCTCCTGTGTTATGTCTGTCCTTACTGACAATCTGTGTACAGGGGCCACTGATCTATCAGATTGTTGGGGAGATAAATTCCTCCTGGTGAGATTTGTTTGTATTATTCCCTCGTGAATATCTGGCTAAAGCTCAGAGTTTTTATCTTTATACAGTAGGAACCAAGTTCTAATAAGACACCCTTTGAATCATTGTTGGTATCTGTTATATATACTTTTAGGTTGCCAGGTTGTGGCTGGCTTTTGTCCTCCTTCAGCAGCACACTTAATTGTCTCTTTAGCTCTTCTGGAAAAAGGCTGCAGAGCATTTGGACCAAAATGTACATATTTACTTATCATTTAAAACTGCAGTCAGAATATTAAAGGAATTGTGGGGTTGTATAAGGTACTTATTCACAGTCAGTTACATACAGTAGATGTATGTCAGCACACCCCCAGTTTGGAGAAGCTGGCTCAAGACTGACATAGAAGCTATGCAAAGTACTGCTGTGAACGGGTCAACAACAAAGTATATAATTTAGCCTAAAAATGTCCCACCTAAAATAATCAATATCAGTTTCAGAGCACGCTATTAATTCAAATATTTTCATTGGTTTGCCTTTCTGTCAGAACTAAAGCAGTTACTGTATATCGCTCTTCACAGCCAGACTTCATTGAGAAAAACAGTTATTTTGCTTGCTGAACGCAGGAGCTGCTGGTCTACCACTGCCTCAATCAGTTAGTATGTTTGCAATATGTGACTTTGGCAATTGAAAGGGTTACTTTGGATTTACCGGAATCACACAAAAACACAAACTAACTGACTGATGAAGGCAGCAGTAGACCATCAGCTCCTGTGTTCAGCAAGCTAAAATTACTGTTTTTCTCAATGGAGTCTGGCTTTGACGGAGCATAGATGGGGAACTTGAACAGTTATCGCTTCCCTGTTGAAAAGGGCTGCCTGACAGAAAGGTAAAGTGGTGAAAATATTCCCAATATAGCATACCCTAAACTGTTACAGATTGTTTTAGGGTGGCTAAAATACATTTTGCTGCTGCCTCCATCCACAGTACTACAATGCTTAGCAGTCCTGCCTGACACCTACTGCTTGTAATACACTGACTATGGATAAGTACCCCTTACAAACCCAATTCAAAAAAGCCAAACTATCCCTTTAATGATTTATTAATCTTTTCAAATACTGTATAGATGACCAAATAACTTTGCTTAGAAAGTAAAAAACTGTTGGCCCTGATGGGTTGTTACTCAACATTAATTACTCCTAATGACTTAACAGCTACAGAGATCTTCCACAACCTGACAACTAAAAGGTTGTTCCTACAAATGGGTTATCACCATTATTAACCACTTATAAGGTCATTAGTTGCAGCTTATAAATGCTTTATAAAGAGTGAATTATCAGAAAGTGGTCCCCTTTTCTCTGTATGTAATATAGTGTAATAAACGTATTGTAAATGTTCAACAAATATAGAGTTAACTGTTAAAGTTGAGCATGAAAAAAGCTTTTGCTAAAGATTCACACATTGAGAAAATATTTTTTTCTATAATTCTTTCAATAATCGATCTAATCAAATTTAATTTTACATCCAGGTGTGAAAAATAAAGTTTCAATATCCAAAATGGGGACAGAAAAATGGCACAGCTTTAAAAACAGTAAACTTGAGGTTTCTGTAGCCTGTAGCTTAGTGTTTCCTCCAAATGTTCATGTAGTCATTATTTTGACTTTAATTTGCATTGTGATGAATATTTTATGAGATTAAATATGAGCTATCAAATGATAAAGACAATAATACATTATCTTAAAATCAAATTGAGCTTTCACATGCCATCAAGTTTAGATAAGTCTCATTTTTATGAACTGATACAATGTGTGCTAAATGCAATTACATGCCTTCTGCATATTAAAATACAATATGCATGTTAATTATGCCTAAATGGAAACATCAAAGTAAAATTGTGGATAAATACCGAGGAAATTTGGAATAGAGAGCAGACGAGGAGACAAGTCTCCCCTTTAAATAAATATGTGACTATTCTCTACTGGAATGGATCACCTACCCTGAGGCTGATATCTGGAGCTGAGAGGGCTCTGAGGGTAGCATCTCCTCCTCTGTCCTTCTCTGGGATGGCCTCTGCCCGAAAACATCCCTGCCCTCCAGAGGGGGAGAGGGGGACTGGGAGGGATAACTGGCTGCAGTGGAGGCATAGGACATGTGGGCGTGGTAACTGGGGCTGGGTTGCCTGGCGCCCTGGCTCTGAGTGGGAGAGGCGGTCAGGGAGGACCTCCGGGAGAAACTGACAGTGGCCGAGGGCTGCAGGGTGATCTCAGGCATCTCCAGAGACCGAGAGGTGCGGAGGATGCTGGGGCGAGGAGGGGGCCGCACTAGAATATCCGGGGAACCCGGCTGGGTGCTAAGGGGGCTTTGGGAGAGTGGAGAGAGGCGGGAGGGCTGGAGTACTAGCGGGGGTAGGCTGGGGTCTGCCCGGCGCCCCGCCCTCGGGCTGAGCCAGGACTGAGGGCTACTGCTGGGGGCTGTGCTTGGGCTCCCTGCACGGGCTGCCGGGTCAGGGTAAGGCAACACTGGTACACCCACACCGTGGGCCGTGTGTCTGAGCTGGCCGAGACTCTGGGCCTGTTGCATAGCTAAACGCCTAACCGGAGGCCCCAGGGGCCTGTCTCTGCCTGGGGGAGCCACAGGGACCTCCAGCTGCAGGAGTCCAGGGCTTGTTGGATCCTTTAGTGGAGGGAGGTGCAGGCGACTGGGGGGGAGAGAGTGAGGAGGGTATGGGGGTGGGTCAGGGAGGTCCTGTGGATGATGTAAGGGATGGTGAGGTGGGTATATGAACCGTGGACCCTCTAGACCCATGAAGGGTAACTCATGAGGCTGCCAGCTTTCAGGAGAGCGAGGAGGAGGGCTGTGTGTGTGAGACAGAGAATGGCCAGAGGCAGTGTACTGATGGTGCTCCATCTCTCCACTCTCCTCAGGGATGGACGGGTAACCAAAGGGCCCCTCGGCGGTGCCTGGGGGGGAGGACAGAGCGGAGCTACGCGGGCTGATGTCAGGCATGTAGAATGGTGGTGGAATCCCTGATTCAACACGGCTGCCTAGATACCCATAGAATGGGCCCTGGGGAAAGCCCCTGTAGCGGGAGGCCGGGGCCTGCCCTGAGGCGTGAAGTGCACTGCCCTCTGCAAAGCTCATACCTTCCATGGCCCTGTGTAGGCGGGGGCTGTAGGTGGGGGGCTGCGTTGACTCCAGGCTGGAGGACGTTGGGGAGAGCTGGGGCCGCAGCGTGGGCATGATGGGCGGCAGAGGCCCAGGGTCAAAATCATTCTCCTCATCGGACTGCCGGAACTCGGGGTACATGTCAGACTCCTCTGCGAAGGGGAAGCCGTGGATGCGGCGGGGCGGTGGGCTCTCCATGACGAAGCGGCCATCAGGGCCGCGGCTTATCAGCTCAATAGGCGTGGTGACCTCTGCCTCATGCTTGGACACGCTGTATTTCTTGCTGGCTATGGCACGCTTGGTTTTCTTGTAGAAGGAGAGCTCTTTCTCTCGTTCTCTTTGAGGGCTGGGCAGCTTCCTGACGTACAGGCCCGGACCTTGGGAACCCTCCGAAGACAGAGAGCGGGGACGAGATGGAGGAGAGCTCTCTGGACTTATCTTCCCCGATGATAGCCTGATAAAAAAAATGCAGACATAAGCACTGGCTTAGCTTGACATTAACAAGATAAAACCCAGGGCAAAGTGCGTAAAGTTTTTTTAAAACAAAAGAAAAATATTTGATGCTGTAAATGAGTAGGCGTGACTGCAGTTTCATTCTTAAGCTAAACAGATGACACAATACAAAGCCAGTGCACTCGATCAAGACAGCCATAATGAACTGCGTTATGATAATGACCACTTTATGGCGGCGGCAGCATCCTCATAGGACAGCAGCTAATGAACCAAGCCAGAATGACAGGATGAGAGGAGAACCAACGACGCAACCATGACAACAGTATCACAGATCTATTGAATCTACATCTTCTTGAGCAGACGTGAGACCAATTTCCATATGCTGCACCAAATGGTGATGTGAGGAAAGCAGATGACATCTAACCAGGCCTCATTTGCCCACACCAGGAGCAGTATAGTCGACACTTACTGGGTCAGTGAATGCATCAGGTAGACATACAATATAAAGAGTGCATATACACAGTACTGAACTGTACATGCAGCTGAGCTAATGCACTTTAATCCCTGCATGGTGCGTGAAAGTCTGTGCATGCAAATAGGCCAGCGGAAGATCTTACTACAACAAATAGTCATTGTCAGTTGATCATTTCTATGAAATGCATTAACCATGCAGCCAAGCCAGTGCAGTGCAGCACACTCTGTATTTTGGTGCAGGCAGGCACTCACAGGGGGCTGGCGGGCGGGGGCAAGAAACTGCTCCTGGCAGGCTCGTCCCAGCAGGGCTCTACCCCTGGCAAGGGGGTGAGAGGAGGCCTGCGACGGGAGACAAACGACATGGGCCTGGTTCATCTCTGACTATGCCACTTGCAGGTAGGACTAAGCGTGAACTCCCTGACCTGCCTGGACTATTTCATAAAAAAAATATACAATACTGATACTGACGTTTTAGCTAAAGTCTCAGGCATACAAACATTTACTCTGGAATGGGATTTACACATATTATTGTCACAAATGAGCTTCTTTTGAGATTGAAATGCAGTCATACATGTACACAAGAGTTACATACAGACAAATACAGTACACACACACACACGTAGCGGATACTGTACATTAAATGTGCGGCTAAACAAAAAATAGCATCATTAAACACTTAGAATCATGCAGAAAGCAGACAGCGTTTGAGGTTAAAGAATACAGATGGATCAAAAATCAATACACATACTGCAGCTTGGGCACTCTGGGTAATGTGCTTAAAATGCTGACTCGGCTGCTTTGAACTTTCTTTCATCTGCCCATGATCCGCTAGAGGCTGCTACTGTACATGTTCTTCCACACCCTTCAAGTAGCCCAAGTCTTTTTTTTAATCATCCATCTGGGCTTTTGTTTATTCTGTGTGCTTATTCAGTTTGTACGTATTACCTGTCTATATGCAAAGACGAAAGCATACTGTGAGTTATAATAAGCTCCACTGACACGGCTCTAAAAAGATCATCCAGTTGCCAACTGCTTCAAAATAATCTTTACTGTTGGTCGTATTTCTCACAGCATGCATGGGAAGAGAGTTTCTGTAAAAGGTGCATTAGAAGATGCACAGTAGTAGCCACCTCTGGCAGACTGCAGGAGCTCAGGCGTTTAGCTTTACTTACGGTGACTCAATGCTTTTCCTGAAGTGTGTCACCGACAAGGGAGGATCTGAGAGGACAAAAACATTTAAATTTAGCATTTCCTCTGTTGAGTCCCACGAGTAGAAGTCAGACACATGGACGGATTGTGAGACAACGGGCCCCTGGTACCTATAAAAGTCCCCCCACCCAGAAGACACCCAGACTAAGATGACTCAAAAACTACAAAAGACGCAACTACATCATTTTATCAGTAGAGCCTTTTGTATATCTGTGTTTTATAATCTTTTTTGTGTCTCTTTGGGATCATTTTGCATCTCTATGTAGTTGTTTTGTGTCTCTGCAGTCAATCTATGTCTCTGCAGTTGTTTTGCATCTCTTTGTGGTAGTTTCGAGTCTCATCATAGTCATTTTGCATCTCTTTGTATTTGTTTCTTGTCTCTTTGTGGTCATTTTGCATCTATTTGTGGTTGTTTTGTTTCTCTCAGTAGTCACTGTATGTCACTGTAGTTGTTTTGCATCTCTTTGTGATTGTTTTATGTCTCTTTGTGGTCATTTTGCATCTCTTTACTGGCGTTTCTTTGTCTCTCTGTGGCCCTTATGCATCTCTATGTAGTTGTTTTTTGTCTCTCTGTAGTCAATGTATGTCTCTGTAGTTGTTTTCAATCTCTTTGTGGTAGTTTTGTGTCTATGGCCATTTTTGCATCTCTTTACAGTTGTTTTTTGTCTCTTTGTGGTCATTTTGCATCTCTTTGTAGTTGTTTCTTGTCTCTTTGTGGTAGTTATGTATACCTATATAGTTTTTTTGTGTCTCTCAGTAGACAATCCAATGTCACTGTAGTTGTTTTGCATCTCTTTGTGATTGTTTAAAGTCTCTTTGTGGCCCTTTTGCATCTATATGTAGTTGTTTTTTGTGTCTCTGTAGTCAATGTATGTCTCCCTAGTTGTTTTGAATCTCTTTGTGGTAGTTTTGTGTCTATGGTAATTTGGCATCTCTATGTAGTTGTTTTGTGTCTCTCTATAGTCAATATATGTCCCTGTAGTTGTTTTGCATCTCTTTATGGTAGTTTTGAGTCTCATCATGGTCATTTTGCATCTCTGTGTAGTTGTTTTTTGTCACTTTGTGGTAGTTTAGAATCTCTGCATGGCCATTTCGCATATCTTTGTAGTTGTTTCTTGTCTCTTTGTGATCATTATGTATCTCTATATAGTTGTTTTGTGTCTCTGAGTAGACAATTCATGTCACTGTAGTTGTTTTGCATCTCTTTGTGATAGTTTTCAGTCTCACTGAGGTCATTTTGCATCTCTTTGACATTCATTGTGTGTCTATTTATAGTAGGGGTGTAAAGATTCATCAATTACATTGATGCATCGATTTATTTTCCTACAATCTAACTGCATCGATAGAGCCTTGGCAAGTTGTCCCTCACTGATGACGATATCGCTGTGAAATCGATTTACAAGGTCAAAAATCGATTATATCGATTACTAAGCATTTGTGCGTTCTATTTAAGCATGACAACGTTATATACATGTATTTTTATCACTTCTAATCGTAAAGTTGCTCGATTCGCTTCACTCTCCCTGAGTGTGACGTCATTGGCATGTGCCGGTAGTGCCGACTCAAAACAAAACGAAGCATGGCTAACAGCAAAGAGGAGGCGGACGAGCTGGAGATTTTCAAGCCGAATTTGAAGTCGAGTGTGTGGAAACACTTTGGTTTCTGCAAAAAAGGAGGTGTTCTGGACAAGTCGGTGGCTGTCTGTCGAATGTGTACTGACTGAGTAAAATGACAGAGAAGAAGCAGGGAAAACTACTGTCCATTCAACCTGATAGGCAAGGTTGCACTTTATTTTTGTATATTATTGTACTCCTTTTATACTGAGTAAAATGACAGAAGTAGCAGGGAAACCTACTGTCCATTCAACCTAATAGGTTGCACTTTATTTTTGTGTATTATTGTACTCCTCTTATACTGATTGAAAATCACAAGAGAAGTAGCAGGGAAACCTACTGTTCAGTTGTAATTCAGCCTGGAGGAATGTTGATCACACTTTTTTTGTCTTTTGATCAGCAGGTTCTGAACTTGTGATAATTATAGTATTTAATAAAAGGTGAATGTTTTTGCCATTAATCGTTGTGTTTACTTATTTATATCCAAAATTAATTAATCCCTGGTTCTCTTTCAAGAAAAAACTCCCCTGCACTGTCCACAGTATTCAGGTATGTATTTCACAGTCACACTGGTTCAGTTTTTGGCAAAACAAAAAAAGTTACTGAATCCATTTCTAGCCCTTGAATCGAATCGAATCGTATTGTTCTAGATGAGCCAAATATCGTTCTTGAATTGAATCGGAACCATGGAAAATGATATGAATTGAATCGTTGTAAAAATGAATCGTTACACCCCTAATTTATAGTAATTTTTTGCCTTTCTGAGAAGAAATGTTGACATTCAGTTCAACAGAGGCTCTGGCCCACGTGCCCCAAGCATTAATCCATCCATGGTCAACATCTATTACATGTAAATGAAGTAGAGAGGCAGACCGACCTGGTTTACGCTTGAGTTTGCGACGGTGTTGCTTATTGACAAAGCATGCTGCTAGAGTGCTGAACAGTACTGCCGCTGCCAGAAAACAGATAGTTGCCACAACACCCGCCACCACCGGCCGCGCCAGCCCCTCATCAGGCAACTCCGCAGGGGGGAAGGGATCTGATGGGGCAGACAAATGGGTGAAAGGGAGCGGTTACAAACAAAAAAACTCATGAATCTATTTCCCATCGGGGCCAAGCGTCTCTGTGTGTAGTTTATAAAGGCACTTACCTGTGCTGGACACTCCCACTACATTGCTGCTCTCACTGATCAGGTCATCCATAACAGCCATCACTCGAAACTCATACCAGGACTCCTGTGAGAGACACACCAAATACAATGTTCTAATGACCTTCTCATACACTGATTTTTGTGTTCAGCTCACTAGATCATGTTCCAAAAGCACTTTGTGACTGTGTTTTGAAAATTGGTCAGAACATGACAACGATATATATCATATCTCTTACCGTGAAAAGTTTTGAGTTTATAGGTGAATGGTTATTAAAGTGCAATGAAATTCCAAAAAAACTATACTAAAATAAGACATGCATTTTTGATGATGACAGTCTTTATATTGATGTCAGTCCCGTTAAACACAAAATGTAGACTATATAGGAAGAAAATGATCAATTTTTCAAAAATAATGACAACTCTAGATCATGCTTGGCTCCATGAAATTGGGGGATTACTATCAAAATGGATTCTGTTTACCAACTTTTTAGCCCCTGTGCCACACTGCACTGAGCCATGTTTCTGTATCGACATGTGTCCTGCATGTAACTGACCTGAACGAGGTCTCTAGCTATGAGATCAGTCTCAGTGGATGGGATCAGGTCATCCAGAACCTCCCACCTCTCCCCGAGGCGGAACTCCATGATATATCGGTCGATGGGCGAGGAGTGGTTGGCTGGAGGGAGCCATGTGAGGAGGACACCGTGCTGCGTGCGATTGGCTGTGAGGCACCGTGGTGGAGTAAGAAGCACCAGTGGTTCTGGGGTACCCAGAGGAGAGCCTGTGGACCAGAAATGTTGCACATAAAAGTTAACACAGGAAACAAACTCAGACATGACCTAGATAGAATGATTTTTTGCAGTGAAATATTCTGAAAACAAAAGTGTGGCTAACATGACTAAGATACAGCCATGCAGGCAGATCTGTAAGGCTGCACAGCAGGGCTTTGGACTAAATGCTACCTTCAGCATGCTAACCACATGACATGACAACACTAACATATTGATGCCAACAGGTGTAATCTTTACCATCATCATCTTTGTTCAGTGTCTTAGCATGCTGACACTCGCTAATTAACACTAAACACAAAGAACAGCTTATGATGACGAGAATGTTTTGTAGCTTGGTCATGAAAAAAGAAATTACATTTTTGACCAGAAGACGGCACAATTATGGATCACCAATGACATTACAATTCATTCTGAGGCAGACATGAATGTCTGCAGCCTAGCAAATTTTGTGGAAATCAATCCACTTTAAACCACAAATATGAGCTTCAGGACAAGTGAAAACTTTGACTTGCTGGTTGCACTAGAGGAATTATCCTCTGGGAGCCATGAATGTCAGTATAAAATTTTATTCAAAATTGCTATTCATGCCACTACCACTAAATACTGACTAGAGTTAATGGGTTTAACAAACAGGGCCACAGTAACAATGGTTTAGCTCCCTGAATATACAACTCCCACAAGGAGGTCAGCCCATGTTCCCATAGCACCTAGAATTTTTTTCCATTCAAATTTGGCCCTATGTTTCCTCAGCTTTATGTTTCCTCAGCACCATGTTCCCTTAGCATCAGGACCCACCCTTCAATAACTGGGTTAGGGGTCGGGGTTGCCAATGTTAAAATGTGTCTATAACTTTTTGAGATATTGTGCTAACAATATTGATACAAGACAGACAAACAAAAAAAAAAACAACTTACTGGCAGAGGTACTTATCTGAGGGAACAGAGGGCTAAGGGAACATAGGACTGAGGGAACACAGGGTTAAGGGAACACAGGGCTGAGGGAATAAAGGGCTGAAGGAACAGGGTTGGAGGAGCATAGGGATGAGGTAGTAAAAGGTTGAGGGAACATAGGGATGAGGGAACAAGGGACTGAGGTAACATAGGATTGAGGGATCATAGGACTGTGGTAACAGGGTTGAGGAAACACAGGGTTGAGGTAATATAGGGTTGAGGGAACATAGAGCTAAGGTAATATAAGGTTAGGGTAGCATAAGGATAAGGTAATATAAGGTTGAGGGAACCTCGGGCTGAGGTAATATAGGGTTGAAGGAACACAGGGATGTGTTAGTACAAGGTTGAGAGAACATAGAGCTAAGGTAATATAAGGTTAGGGTAGCATAAGGATAAGGTAAAATAAGGTTAGGGTAGCATAAGGATTAGGTAATATAAGGTTGAGGGAACCTCTGGCTGAGGTAATATAGGGTTGAGGGAACACAGGGATAAGGGACATATGGCTGAGGTAAGACAGGACTGTGGTAACATAGGGTTGAGGGAACACAGGGATGTGTTAGTATAAGGTTGAGGGAACATAGGGCTGAGGTAATGCAGAGTTGAGGAAACTCACGGTTATGGTAATATAAGGTTGAGGGAGCACAGGGCTAAGGTAACTTAGGGGTTAAGTAATACAGGACTGAAGTAACATAGGGTTGAGGGAACATAGGGCTGAGGTAACGTAGCTTTGAGACCAAAAGCATAAATCCATCTAAAAAGAGATACACTTCTCAGCATGCACACAGAAATACACTATCTTGTTGTAAGATTTCACCCAAAAAGAACATTTAATGTCTGACATGATCAAATTAAGAATTTAGCAATTTTAGCATATGAATTGAATGCAAAACTCGAGAACGCGAGACACCACAGTAATGAGTCCACATCAACCAAAATCTATCCTCTTTTCTGTACTTTAAAATATATGAAAGAATAAGGCACTGTATGTACAGCACAGGAAACATAGAGCACAAACCAATAACCCTTATTGTCTACTGCCATTCATCTGTTGGCTGCTATCCGAGTGTGTGAACTAGGTCAGAACTTTGCAAGCCTCATTTAGCCTTTGTTGAATAAAGGTAAGCTTTCCAACACATTGTTGTCAACAGGAGCAGAATCTGGGTTTACACTGTAAAGAACAAAGCCGGTATTATGAGGATGTAACTGTCATCAAGTCTCACGGTGTTTCAGGTTCATAGAGGTTTTTTAATAATAAATTCTTTACAGTTCTGGGTTTGATTGGTAAATGGGTCACTTAATGTATCTCTTTCCAAATTTAAGAAAATCTGACTTTTCAGGGTTAGTCTACATAACATGTGTTTGATGTGTGGGTGCTGTTTCTCTCTAAGAGTCTGACTCCATGCACACACAGAGGCCTTTGGGTGTGCCTTGATCTGTGCATGCCTGTATTCAACACCCTCACTTCTTTGTCCTTTCCACTGTATGGTGGAAAATCCAGCGGTGCACTTTTCTCCCTTCATGCCTTTTCTTTTTTTGCTGAGCCATTGATTTTAAATACCATACACCTTTAATTCAGTTTCAATTCAGGCAGCGGCACACAGAGACTGGATATGGCAGCATGCCCTTGAGGCATGAGCTGGAGTGCAACACACAAGAATCTAAAAAATGCAAATTCACATTTTTGTTACATTGAAAATACACTTTAAAATGTATTCATTACCAGCAGCTACAGTCACTGACTAACAACTCACTAACACATCTTTCTCACGGCAAATATGTTGACTTGTCAAACACAAGTGGAAATAATAATATTATTAATGACTTTGCTATTGTGCATGCAGTCGTATCGGCACACCTACATGGACCAGTGCCATCATTACTGTCATTAGTTACAGCTCTGCCTCTCCTGCTATGATGATTCAGAATGTTTGCAGCGACAATTATCTGTTGCATTACTCAGCACATTAAAATGTATCTACTGTTTCTTCTTCTTCTTTTCTCATGAAGCCTAATTCTCAGGCTAATACATTAAATGGCAGATAGAATCATGTTTGTTTAGTCGTAGCATCCTGAACATGATTTGGTGACTTTAAGTTTAATATTTTGGGTTTTTGTTTTCCTTAAAAAACACAAATAGGCTTCACAAGGAGGCATTAGATTAAAATAGTTATCAGGCTTTCCATAATAACGGTAATATAACAAAAAACTAAGTGAAGAAAATATGTTTGTGTAAACTAAACCTTTAAGTCATCCTTAAATTATTAAGATTCCTTGACAGAGATGACAGATAATATTATTATTTGCATCTTTTCCACAAGAAGCTCAGAGCTTTACAGGTTTATTTATGGTTGATGTTCTTTAAAGCATTTTTTAAAATATTAATTTTCACTGTATCTCACTATAATGTAAATTAATCTATAGTTGTTTTATCCTTATGCGTTAATTTAAACCTCACTAGAGGGCAGTATGTGATGATGGGTGTCTGATGACATAAATAGTGTCTCAGTGCAACTCCATGGGTTGGTACTGAAGTCAAAAAGCAGCAAACACGGATGGAGAAAGCTTTGAGTGAGAACCCACCTGCAGTGTTGACTGTCACAACTTCACTGAATGGGCCCGTGCCCAGTTTGTTTTGCGCCAACACACTGAACTGGTACTCTGTCCCAGGCTCCAGCCCTGGCACCACCAACCACGTCTGAGCACCAGAAACTGGCATCGAATGCCAGTCGTGAGGACCGAAGTCTGTTCTCTTTGACCTGAGGACAGAAATGAGACGGAAAAAACAGAAATATTCTACATTATTTTGTACCCTTAATGATGGCGAATAATGTCCGAACTGTAATTAGTCTCATGACAGTGTTATTTCGTAGGCGGGTGCTGAAAATTTGCACTTAATTTAGTGTTTAAGCATCAAAAAATACTTACGTACGCTCTGTTCCAGATAAAAACAATTTTACATGTTTTAAAGCATTTCAATTAATCATTTCTTTATTCTGTTACAAAACATTTAACTCATCTATTACTGTTATTTATGAATGCATTTTTTCTCTGTTTTAATGGTTGTATTATTACATTTTATTATTTGTATTTCTCATGTGCATTTATCATAAATCATTTTACTGTTTACATTGCTACTCTTATGATCTTGTCAGTCATCTGTAGAGCACTTTGAATTGCACGACCCTGTATAAAAGGTGCTATACAAGCAAAGTTTGATTGATAAAGATGAAAAAACTTCTTAAAGGTGGCTCCCATATATCAGCACTCAGGCATAATTATTGTTTTCAGTGTAACATTCAGTTGTGATTGATTCAGTGTCCTTTTGTGTACATTGTCAACATGTCTCATGACCAACAATGTGACATATGTATTGTTTAGTCATTTCTACCTGTTTCAATGGCACCAGTCAGCTCCATAGTAAAAACTGAATGTTTAGTTTTTATTGGTTGTTTGCCAGAAGTAACCGTAGAGCCAATTCCTGAATCCGGAGCATTTATTGAAGTTTGATTTTCCACTTTAAACACTGACGACTGGCAGAAACCTCTAACCTTTAAGACTACTTCAATGATCCACCTGGGAAATAACATCACTTCAACGTTTAAGTCCGAATCTTAAATTCACCTGTGCTGTATTTGCTTATTGTAAACTGTAATTAAATAAAACAAACTAGTTCTTTAGTGTGTTTCACCTCATTAGAATTATGACTTTCTGTAAGTTATCACTGTCTATTGTGTTTACATCTTCAGTACTTCACCCTGCTCCACCTGGCTTTAATGTGCACATATAATTATCTCTTACCAAGGTAATTACAGGGCTTTGACTCACAAATTTATAGTTTGAACTCCACGTGAAATGTTACTCAACGTAGAAACGCTGTGTCAATACACTTAGAGACATCTTTTCTTCTCATTTTGAAGGTTAACAAACATGTCCCTGTTGATACCTGGAGAGATGATTTACTCACAGGCATCCAAAATTTAGTAGTACTTAAGTAAATGTAGCAATACTCTGTAAACGTCATGCCACATTTTACTTAAGTAAAAGTACAAAAGTGGTAACATCAAAATATATTTAAAGTACTGGCTGTTACTTTTGACAAGATACACTCAGAAACAAGTTTCCAAGCCAGAAACATGTGGTTTGGTGAATTCTATAGTAGCAAGGCAGTTTCCTTTGCTTTCCATCACTAGTTGGTCTGAAAACAGCATCATGTCACTTTTAGCGTTTTCATGCCCGGAAAAGCATTTTGAGAGCATGTTGTCACTTAGGCTGTTACTTTTGACCAGAAGCACTCAGAAACAAGTTTCCAAGCCAGAAACATGTGGTTTGCTGAATTCTATAATAGCAAGGCAGTTTCCTCTGGTTTCCATCACTAGTTGGTCAGAAAACAGCATCATTTCACTTTTAGCGTTTTCATGCACAGAAAAGCAATTTGAGAGCATGCTGTCACTTAGGCTGTAAAAGAAATAAAAATGCAGAATGACCAATTTCAGAGCAAAATATATATTAAATAACTGGATTATAATTATCAATGAAATGTGACTTTATATATTGCTGGGTAGCTACATCATGTAAGTCTATAACATATAACAGTCCTATAATAATAACTCATAATTATTTGTTGATTTAATTCTGTACTAGTAATCTCAACATGCGAAGTAACGAAGTTATCGACTTTAAGTTGTCAAATAAATGCGGTGGAGTAAAAAGTATATTTGCCCCTGAATTGTAGTGGAGCAGAAAATGGTAAGGTACTAGTACCTCGTAAAACTGTATCCACCACTGCAAAATTCTCCCTGAGTACTATCAGGTGCATGTACATCACGTATGATGCTGAATGAGATGTTACTAGATTGATACTCCATCACTTCCCTAACACACACCATGAATTATGCACATGCACATCTACTGAATACGCCGAGAAATATGCTGAATTTCTAAAATATTTCATCATCGTCAGTGAAGAGCACAGAAACTAAAATGTGTGTCAAACTCAGCGCTTGACCTCCAGGTAGTGTTTCCACATCTGCAGGCTGCTGCCATTGATCTGAAGTTTAATAGGAGCACTCACACTGGACCGTACCACACAGAGAACGTCTGTTCAAAGCCGCCATCATATCCTGGTTCCCAGGACACATTAGCAGAGGTTGTTGAGGGCAATACATGGATATTGCCAGGAGCGTGTGGGCTGGTGCCTGAGAGACCGAGACAGAGAGAGGGAATGCATTAAAAAGCACAAGTGCTAATTTACTTATCAGATATATAGCTGCTTACAATGATCATTTAATACCACATGCAGTAATTAAACTATAGATATCCATTTAACATTTTATAACTGGTCATTTAAAGTCAATCCTACTGCTTCAGTTTAAGTCATATAATGCACCACAAGTCAAATGAGGAGCATTTTGCTGCTATTTTCACCCCCAAAATGCTGTGCTGCATCATGCGCCCGCCCGCTCTCGCTGTAATAATGTGATGCTGGCTGAGGTGGTGACCAGTGTAAGGTCAAGTTCAAGAGCAGCAGTGTTGTCTGCAGCTCCGCTCATCCCGCCCACGTAACAGCTGTGCTGTGTAGGCCGAAGCCAGTTTCTTCTGACTGGGATAAAAGAGAGACCTGAGCGTGATCTGACACCTGTCAGCTGAGAGCTGGTGACACGGAGGCAGGCTGAGCGCTGCCAGCTGTGCCACAGTATGACCGCTCCATAGGCAGTGGGGCAATGGGCTACTGGGGCAGACTTGCTCACATGTTGAAGACCACCAGACGGTACATAAACACAGATTTAAAGGAACAGTTCTGCTTTCTGAGGAACAGGCTTATTCACTTTCTTTTCAGGGTTAGATGAAAAAATGTATGCTATTATATCTGTGCACCAAATATGACGCTACAGCCAGAGGACAGTTATCTTAGTAAAAGGCTGGCAAAAAGTAGCTAGTCTATGTAGGGATTAAAGAAAATACAACGTGGTAATTGGTGAGCTTTGGAATGGCTGGTTGGCTAATCTTAAATTACCTTTGCACTGCTTTTCCAGCCGTTTCCAATCTTTCTGCTATGCTAAGCTAAGCTAAACTAAGCTAAGCTAACCAGCTGTAGCTTCATATTTAGCCTATAAACAAGAGGTGTATCAATATTTTTAGCTAGCAAGAAAGTAAATAAGCATATTTCCTAAAATGTCAAACCCTCTCCTCAACCCATATTTACATGTCCTTCAATTTGATACTATAATAACTTGTTTTTAAAGAATACTAAAATCACAAGTTGTGCTCTTCCCTGTGAAAACACTGTCCTTATTTTGCAATCATGCATCTGTAACATATGCTGCATATAAATCCATGTTTCTAGCCTACAGGGGTCGAATATTTGATTACCAACACATAGATTTTTTGGAAGAGTGTTCCCCTCAACAAGAGTCTAAAAATATAAGGCACAAATTTAAATGCTTCCGCAGGGCAGAGCAATGTGTGTACGGTAAGTAAAAGAATGCCTGACAGCACCAACCATCCCAAAAAACCTGCCTCGCATTGCTACTGCTATGCATATGTATATTTTACATCATGAATAATCATATGTCGGTAGACTGTTTTACAACTTTGTGCATTTATCTGCTTAAAATGGCTGCTATCACTGCTGTAAATACATCATCAGAGAACACAGCAGTTATGATAAGGTATTAGTTAAGACAGTTTGGATTATAGGTGTTTAAGAACACTTTCTACAGTGTTTGATTGAGGGCTTGTTGTACTACAACTTCTACACAGCCCTGTTTAAACGTAATAACCCTGCTTGCCTTTGTCGACACTTCATTCAATTTATCTCGGAGTGAAAAGATGTCCTTGGTCCACTGACTCAATAGACAAAGGCAGTAGTGGCAGTGTTTTAGCACACGGCTGGATACCACACTGTAGTTACAGATTCAGGCTTTTAAATTAACTGTATAAAGCTATTACAGATAAGATCTAATGAAATTTTAATGATGCCCAAGGGGAAATTGGGCAGAGGCAAGGTGTTTGAGGGATGAGGGTCTTATCATGCAAATCACTCAAACCACACACAGCAAAGTGGGATCACAATGAACTCAAAATAACTATGAAAGGTCAGTGAGTTAAGGAAATTGAGCTTTGAGCTGAGAGCACTGTGCAGATTTTGTGTACCGATGACTAGGATACGCGTGCTGGCAGTGATGCTTGTGACCACATTGGTGGCTACACACTCCCATTCTCCGTGGTCCTCCTTGCTGAGGGACAGAAACTGTAAGCTGCCACTGGGTAGGATGTTGTGCTTACTCTTGCTTGGCTTCCCCACCTTCAATGGACACAGAAATTACAGCGACATGGTTAAAAAAGTGCAAACAAGCATTTGCAGCACAGTGCGAAGGGTGATTTATTAGGAGATCTGTGATGATGTGTTGGTCTACTGCACCTTTCTCCAGGTGATGGTTGGTATATCAGGGTCTCCAGAAGCAGCACAAGGGATAACTAGCTCTCTCCCAGCCTCCTGACGGTACTCCCCCCCAGGCCTCACATTAAAGTAAGGGGGATCCTGGAAGAAAACACATAAACACCACACCCATCATGCAGACCTCTGCGCAGATCAGTGCATGCCAACACATGCAGAGGAACCAAACATGAGTAGTGATGTACCTTTAGCACCAAAGTGGCAGGGGGGGACATGCCCATGGTACCCAGGGCGTTGTAAGGCACACAGGTGTAGGTGCCCAGGGAGTCTTCTGTAGCCTCCGCCACCCGGATACTTCCATCTGGCATCAAGCTCCAACCGGGGTACTACAATACATGGGGGCATCTGTAATGCTTGATTTCAGGCTTTTTCCTGAAGGGACTGCTTTTGCAATGCAGGTCTGCCTTCAACAGCACATATTGTTGATATGACCTCAGTGACAGCAGATTAGATAGCAGATACAAAGAGCAGCAGATAGAGAGCTCTGAACAAAGAGATACCTTATCAAGGAGGCACTTCAAAACAATTTGAACATGACAGAATTATTTGTACAAATAGAGTAATGCTTAAGTGATAACAAAATAATGGCTCATAATATGTAAAACAAGTCTTTATTAATTTATTTGTCAACAATTATTGCTCCTCCAGTGGGCACCCATAAGTGGATGCTGGTGTTTAAATAGATAATGAATACAGCAATTAAGTAAAACACAGTTTTAATAATGAATGAAATGTCTTCATAGAAGCACTAACAAACACTTATATTGTGGTACAAACTGTGTATTAAATGTTTGCATATTAAATACTGGATTTAAAGGTCCAGTGTGTGGGATTTAGTGGCATCTAGCAGTGAGGTTGCAGCAAAATGTGAAAATGTGGATGGCCCTATCCAGAGCCAGTGTTTCATTTGTCCATTCTAGGCTACTGTAGAACAACATGTCAAACTCTGTGAAAGAGGACCCGCTCCATATGTAGATATAAATATCTCAATCTAAGATAACAAAAACTAGGGCCGTCCTGAATACCAGTGTTTGGGTGTTGTAGCTTCAGTGAAAAATATTTGCGATTATTGGCTGCTTTTAGTAATGAGGTACATCAGTCGTTGCACCTAAAATGACGCAACAGTTAGCCATTTTGTTAGCATGCAGGTCATAGAAATATCTGCCTTAATAGCTAGAAAAAAGAATACTACACAAGACAACTAATCGGTTGCATACAGTTTTCAGGTGATTAGCCAAGCTTGTTGTAGATTTCTAGCATACCAGCTTCCTTTAGCATATCTGGAGCTCCACTTTTGGGGGTAATCTTTGCAAATTAACTATTCCAGAAGCTTGACTTCATCTTGCTAGCGTATAACGTGTGGCCAAACTGCCCCAGTTTCAGTAGTCCTGGACGGCTAGTCAGTGACATTAGATGAGAGTGAGTCAGAGTCACAAAACTAGCATTAATTTTAAATGTCCTTGTCTGAAAATAACTAAAACTAATGAGTGTTATACATAATGAATAATACTGGATAACTTTTAGGAGATTTGGGGTATTGCATATACGTACATATTGACTACCATGGCAAAGATTGAGGCTTTGAACATCTCGGTCAGCCGTAACGTAAACACAACAACTCTTAATTTTAAGTGATTATAAACTAATGAAAACATTAGGGATGCGTGCGATTAAGCTGTCTAAACGATTACACGTCCGCCCCCTCCCTAGAAGTATTAGTCGGTTCAACCAATTACTGTTTTATTCATGTACAAGGCCGCTTAACTGTCATGCAGCCGCTCGCAACTAGTGGGAGCTACAAAGCCGACAGACAGCCCTTGAGAGGTCCTCCCACAAAACCAGCGCGGTTTGGCAGTACTTTGATCTAGAAAATGAAAACAATTTAGCATGTAGGCTGTGTCAGAAAATAAACTGGCACTCGACTAGAGCAATGCACAACCACATTCAACTTGAGCATTTGGATGAATCCTGCATGAAACGATAGCTGCTGCTGCTAGCGGTGCTCGCCACACACAGCCCAAATTGACACTGTTCACCCTCAGACGCTGTGATCCCGCCCGGTCTGAGAAGACAACGTGGCTCATCAAGACAATGACCTCGCAAGATATGTTTCCACTTAACTTTGTTGAAGGTAAAAGCTTCAGGAATGCAAGGATGTTTAGCCTGAATGTTCAAGTTCACATTCATACCGCACGGCGCAAAGTGTCTCGTACTTCAGCAGCATTTAAAATCTGACATGGTTGTTGGAGATTCTTATTAAAGACTTCAAAGGGCTCTTAATGCACACAATATATCTGGGACAATATTTCAAATACTTAACAATAAATAGTACTAAATTTTGAGTTTTCTGAGTGTTTTCTCTTTTTAGAGTAGTCGATTAGTCTTTTTCGTTTAGTTGCCAGGAAAATTAGTCGCCAGGAACATCGCTATCAAACATAGTTATGAATATTATATACCACTTCTGCCATTAAATGCCCCTAAATCCTACACACTGGACCTTTAAAGTCTAACCACTAAATCTGAACTTTCTCATGGATGCCGAATTAAATGTGACATTAAATGTGCAGTGACACAGACAGCAGACTGATTTATAAAAGAGTTAAATGAAGAGAATAACCTTCTCCACTCTGAGAGGATAGCCGTCTTTCTCCCACTTCACTGATGTCACAGGAGGGTTGGCGTCCACCGGGCAGCGGATGATGCCTGGCAGTTTCCGTGGGACGTAGATGACCGGGGGCATGTTAATCACTCGGGCAGGGTCTGGGTGAAAAGGAGAGATCAGTGTCAGGGATGCTCTTATCAGTTTAGTTTGATATGATCTAATGTGCAAACATTTCAAGGCAGAAAATGGACATGTGGTGTTTTACCAGGGCACATATTTATCAGACGTGCCAGAGTGGGAAATCACTTGTAACCGGCCAAAAATTCTCAGTGTGACTCATTTCTAGTCGTACTTTAATAAAAGCATTTTATCAGCTTTCCTAACCTTGAAAATCACTCTTATCTCAGCCAAAAATTTGGGAGAGCTCACGAGGTGTCCTAACCTGCTGGGAGTAGCCATGAGAGGGGATATTCTACAATCTGTGCGAGTGGAGGTGTTTTGAGAAGGCTTGGTAATAATAAGCTTATGAAAAGTTTGTTTTGAGACTGACTCACTTTAGAAACCGATGTCATCACAACATTGCACTTTTTAGAATGTGAAAATTACAGCTGTTTAACAATGATTCTGTCACAACAAACAGTTTCAATGGTCATAAATTAAACTGAGAGAGAACAGACTGTCATCTGCATAATAAAGAGTATCTCAATTTAATTGCACAGCTAAAATGTAATAAAGGGTCTCATATATAGCTTATTATAACAATTAAAGGCATACTTTTTGATCAGTTTTGTATCATAACAATGTGTGTAGTATGTGTAAATGCATTATGAACGTCCCTCCATCCTACCAGTGCCCAGATCTCCGAGTTCATCTCCCAGCTTAAATCTGCTAGATGACACAAAATGTGTTATCCCACTGGCTCTAGGGCTGTTGCTCCAACTACAGATTGTACTTCCACATTTTCGTATGCCCGCCAACATGGATACAAAGAGTAGAGAGGTGGATAGAGAGAGAACCAGCCTTTTGTCTCTCAAACTCAGACCAAACTCTGATGAAGTGGTACAAGTAACCAATGCTGTCAAATATAAATCAAGATTGTGTTACAGTATTGCCTATTTTCTGCCTAAAATGTTTTCAGAAGCATATTTTAGTGCTCTGTTTGGCTGTGATATGAGAATTTGTGAACAGGAAGTGGGTGCCATACTGTTTCCTGTATTGTAAAATGAATGCTGAAAAAAAAACCCCGCCATCTTGTTTTCCGTGGAAAAACAACCAAGCTTGTTTTACCCACCAGCAGGAGAGATTATTGGCGCAGTGCACTGCACAGTGCATTCTGGTAGTTGCAGGTTTTCTTCCTCTTTCTGCAGCCTTTTACCTCTCGTTTTCTCTGGTCATAGAGAATTTCAAAACTATTTGTGTCTTTCTACTGCATAGACAGCCCAGTTTTATGAAAAGACCATCTTTCCAGCAATAAAATAATTCTTCATAAATAATTAATGATAATATAACTATTGCGGGGCTATAATATTTGAGAGATGTGTTCACATTGTTATGGTGCATTTTCCAAGGCTGGGTGACAATACAGAAAAAAAAATTCTTTTTTGTAAGGAACATAAATTAGTTGTAGTTGAAAGGAGAATTAGTGGAAGATAAGATGAGGTGCTGCTTTACTATTATGGGCTGTAAAAGGATGTGTCATTGGTTGGGGCTGATATGATTCATTTACACTTCATGACTGTCAGTCAACTAGTTTTTTAATGCATGTTTGGACTACATTTATTCTTTTAGCTAGGTAAGTGGCTTCCCAGGGTTTGTTAGCAGTCGAATTTAGAATTGCCTATATCCATAAAACCATAAAACATTAACAAGCAGTGCTATTTTCTGCATTTTGTACCATTTTTTAAAATATCTGAAACCTTAACTGTCGTACAACTGGGCCCTGCGCCTCTCCTAGGCGTAGTCCCTCTCGTGGCTGAAAGTAAGTGTTAATAAATTACTCTCAAGTCCTACTCTAAGTATTTGAAGTCCTAGGTTAACTTTCAGCACTATTCCTGGGAGTGATTCTGAGATGCTTGATAAATATGAGCCCAGAGTGTGTTTTGCATGAAGCATCCAGGACACTGGTTTAATTATGGTCTGCTTTATTTGAGGCCAGTGATGAAATCAGTGCCTGCAGTGCCTGTGAATCCCCCAGGCTCTCTCTCATACTGTAGCACAGTAATCAATGACCAGCGGCAACTTGGGAGCAAATTAGCTCAACACGCCAGGGCTTGACGATGAAAAGTCAGATAGCCAGGAGTGACGTTTTTCTCTCTCATCGGACAGAGCCGATGAACAGGAAGGTCACTGTTTCATTTTTAGGGGGAGCTGGATTCAAAAGAGACGAGGAAAAATGGAGTCTGAGGACGAGCCCGTCTCCATTTTTTTGCACACAGGAATGAGGCTGGAGTCGATATAGATACTAACTGTATCACTAAAATCCACTCAGAATATGAAAATGGTCAAAGAGGCTGAGTCAAAGCAAACTCTGTGACCCTCTGTCACATCTGACCTTGACATTCAGGAAGGTTACTTTGCATTACAGTGGCAGAACAGCGCTGCCAAATAATACAGCAGCCTCCATACTGCTGCTGCTGTTCCCCTCTCCTCCTCACACCGCTCACTCTCCCTGCCCCGCCCCCACCCACTTTGTTGCCATGGTAACACTCACACTGAACAGTCAGGTAGGCTGATGCCGAGGGCGAGATACCGAGGCTGTTGCTCGGACTGCAGGTGTATTTCCCAGCATCCTCCGGCTTGACCCGGAAGATGATAAGGGTGCCGTCGATGAGAATGCGCACTCGGAGCTTCAGATCACTGCAAGAAGACACACACACACACGCGCGTTTTGTCACACACCATGTTACTCAAGCACAGCAGCAGGACAGGGCACACATCTCTTTTCTTTGCTGAATTACATCAAGGTGCCATAAGAGAGCAGCAGAGAGTCAAACAGCAGCCGGCTCTGAGAGGAAGAACACAGAGTACAGAGCAAGAGATTCAAATAAATCTGCTAATTGCCATAATCGCCAAATGGTTCAGCCTTCATGCTTTCCCCCTTGACACCATTTAAAATTAAACACAGTAATGATGGAGCACATATTCTGTTTGTTTAATGAAGCTGCTTTCCTTGTTTCCTTGTGAAATAATTTTACCATATAACATAGCTCAAACTGAATATATCCTTAAATAAAATGATACCACTTTCTGATATGAACCCCCCTTTTCATCTTAAAATGGATTTATAAATGGCGAATATGTCATTTACTGGAGGTTTACAGATCAGTTTTAGGCCATTAATAAGAAAAAGATTTGGGCTGCTAGGCTATAAAAAAAATCATCTACAACTTCTTAAGCATTTATTGATGGATTATGAACTTATATTACTGTATTTTAACCAAACACGTATGTGGTACTACTTGGAAAACCATCTGGTGTTTCTTATAACTGATCTTAGCTACAACATTAAGATAATATGATCTGCTAACTTGTACCTTTGGTGTGTTCTCAGATATCTATTGATGATTTGTCATGCAATGTAACACAATGAGTATCTTGAAAAGCAACTTGGAAAAATAAATAACCTTACACTATATGAGTGAATTGGGCAAATATTTGTGCGCAAGGAATGCTGTGGCAGCCATGATGTGTGAACTGTATACACTATATGTACAGGGATGAAAAATAAATACAATATACATGATTATATATTAAAATTCACAATATTATTCATTATCTTATTAATCATCGAAATATGCTTAAAGCTCTTAAAGCGACGCTCTGTAGGATATTTCTTAAAACAATGTAAAGACTGATACAGAAGTAATCCGCTCAATCATCACGTATGACCCACTACAAGTGTGTGGCAGTGTATTTTTCTACAGAGACTCTGCCCTCTTCCTGTATTTTCCTGTTTTGGGACTTTTTTGGACGTGTCCTCACAGCGCTCGGGTGAGGTCGGGGCAGACGCCTGTCCAAAAGCAGCAGGCATCCAAGAGACACAGCACCAAAAAAACACATAGATAACAAGGTGAAACGTCGAACAAGAGTGAATCTGGGATTGGCTTTGACTTTCACTTGGTGGCAAACGTGTTTTCAAACTAACTGACAATCTGGTTCTGTATACCTTTAAACAGAGATGTTCTGATACCATTTTTACCTTACTGATATTAATTCTGTTACCTGAGCTTGCATATCGTTTGATACTGGGTACAGATCTGATACCATTGCACAAAAGAATAAAAATAAAAAATGAACAGCTGTATATTACTAACCCCTGTATGGATGTGAGATGATTGCTATCAATTTTGCATGACATGGCTCAGGTTAAACCCTTTGTAAAACATGAACAAATACATACAGAGAATGAATGCCACAGAACTTTTATCCAGTGTGAAATACTGCAAATTGCTAACATTTTGCTAACGGCTAACATTGCACTATTATTACTATTTAGGAATAAACTTTGAATAAGTTTCACACCTGGACAAAATGGCAGTTTTCCTGTAAATCAATTCTTCTTTGCCGCTCTAAAACAGTAGTTGCCAGTGGCTGCATTGAGCAACTTGCTGTGTAGGCTCCTGTTTTAGAGCAGCAAAGAAGAAGTGATTTACAGGAAAAGTGCCATTTTGTCTGGGTGTGAAACTTATTTAAAAATTAATTAATAAATTACGTGGTATTGGATCAGTGCATAGAATCTCACAGATGCCAATACCAGGTCCAATATTTTGGGCAGGGGCATTTGAGATACTGGTCTCGGTATTGGAACTAAAACATGGAATCACTTTATCTTACATTTTGTTAACAATATTTACATCTTTCTGACAACTACAAATCTTAAAAAGCCAGAATTTTCAGTGGCATCATATCCTATGAAATGAAATATACCAGTGCTCATTTTTAAGGTTGGCACATACGCAGGCTGTTTTTGCAGAGTCTCTGTTATTGTTGGTTGCCCAGCAGACTCTTTGGGTGCTGCTGAACATGATACTCACTATTATCCCATTAATGAAAATTCACCACAATCAGCCCAGGCCGTTCAAACGCACTGTTTGTACGAACACCTGCGACAAGTAATGCACCATAATTCATATATATCCCACATAACCACGAGCCAGTAATTCCTGTACAATCCGTGTAACTGGGAAGGCTATGGGACCAGTGCATTAACAGGAGTAGAGAAGGAAGTAGTCTGCATAAGGAGGCAGGTTGGGGTGGTGGATGGGTCACAAAACACAGGACTTACGACTTCTTACGTAGAACTACCTTATAAACCTTCTTATCCTACCCATCCTGCAAGAAAATTAAAAGAAAATCAAGATTGACGCCATGAAAGCTGTTTAAAATTAGATCGGACACTTCAGTGCACTTCCTCTGTGGAAGTCCTTCAGACACTTGTTTTCACTGCCAGTCAAACGCCTGTTCACTTGTTCTTCCTTCCCACTTGTTCTGTCTGTCACTTGTTCGCTGTAAAACCCTCTCAGACTCTAAAGACCTGCTCTGGGGAGTCCGCGGAGGTCCTGGCTACGCTTCAGAGCATCACTGCATGAGAGGCATATGATGACACAAGGCCTAAGTCAGGTGGTATTGTCATCAGAGCGCACTAACTCGCCTGGCACTGTCCAGACAGCCCCCCGCCAGGCGCGCTCTTGCTGCCTCTGGGGCCGCAGTAGGACAGGACACCAACACACACACACACACACACACACGAAGGGCTCAGAGACACACAATGTCACCCACATCAGAGAAGCTCTGGGATGAATGCAGCCTGTGTGATGGCGCTTTAAATGCCTTTAAGTCTTAACCTCACCCAGGTTTTTTAACTGTTTCCCTGCAGCTACAGTACAGAAGTGAACTTGATCATAACTTTACTTCTTGAAGTAGACGTTGTCCTCTTCCCAGAACCAGGTGTAGGTCAGGTTGCCAGGATACGCCTCCGCTTGGCAGGTGAAGAGTGCATTCTGGGATATGTTTACAGTGACGTTTTCTGGTGGAGAGACGATGTATGGAGGCCCTGAAAGAGGCAGACACAAGTGTTTTAGTTTGTTGTAGTCTTCAGATATAATCTGCAAGCTAAGCTGATATGAATAAATAGTTTCTTCTTTACACATCCATCAGTTACAGAGCAACATTTGCATTCACTCAGAGTCGTGTTTCCAGCCACCTGATGAATGTAACTCACTCTCGTTTTAGCTTTGTTTTTGGTCTCCACCAACTCTTGAGGGAAATATGTGACTCTCTAGCTGCTAAATGCTCCACTATGTTCACATGCTAGTTGCTAACTGTGTCTGTGTGCTGTTTTGGGCTGAGCAGGTGGTGTACAGTGGGGTTTTTGGGCTTTGACCGTGAAAACAGAACCCTGCTGCACCCAACATGAGTTTCTTTAGGGAGGAACTACAAATATTTTTTTTACTTAGCCCCTATGAAATGGTTGAACTATCCATTCACAGTGTGCATACATTAAAGTGAAATAAGACTTTTTATTCACACGATGGGCAGATTATGAGACGATGGGCCCCTGGGCGCAGATATACAAAAGGCCCCACCACCTCTCCACCACAGGAACAAAACCCAAACTTTGTAGTTGCTTTGCCTAATTTTTTGTTGTTGTTTTGCATCTCTTTGTGGTCTTTTCTTGTCTCTTTGAGGTTATTTTGAGTCTCTCTCTGATTGGTACAAGTTGATTTGAGTTACATTTTGCAGGTGAAGGCCAGGGGAGCCCCTGACATTTTGGGCCTCCGGGTCTGTGCCTGGAAGGCCCATTTAGTAATCCATCCATGATTTACACATCTGTTTTTATCAGCAATGTTTAAAACCCATTTTACATACAATATAAACATTTACTTATTCATTCAAAAGAGGAGTACATGAAAAAGGCAATAAATAGTAAGATAAAAATTACAAAAACTCACATACTGTATTATGCAGGCCATTCTTTACAAAAGAATATCAGACCTGTTCATCTGTGATTTGGTGCAACAGCACAACAGTTTTGTTTTTGTTGGATAAAAAGTATCATTAGATCCTAAAACATCCTACTGAACTATATGCAGGCCAGCTCTGCTTCCACTTTGGGATAGTGGATATTTCTGTCAGTAACAGAGTGAGAAAGAGCACACACTTTGTTTTATTTACAATATATCACCACAGTCTGAGGTGAAATACAGTGACCAGGCAGCTACTGTTACCTTAACAGTAGCCAGCGTCGGAGCTTATGCATGCTTCACATTGTAACCTCCTCATCCCCTGAGGTGCTCGAGGTTTGCTCTTAACTCTCAATAAAACAGTAGAAGCCATGAAAGGTAAGCTGTCTTTTATGAGTGGGCCCAGATACAAGCCTCCTGGTTATTTTCCTCTCAGCGAGCACGGCTTTAATGCATCAGGTGGGACCGCTGACGGCACTGTGTGCCTCACAGTGTCTCACATAACAATTAAAAACAGATCACGGGAGTGAGAATCATGACTCCTCAGATATCTGCTTGTTATTGCTCTGAGTCTTAATCATACCCCGCATTTTATTCCACAGTGCTTTTCACGCCAAATGTTCATCCAAACTCAACTACAGGGCAAAATGTTTTATTTGTTTCTTATTCTACCTGACAACAGGTTTTATAGTGTTACTTAAAGGGACAGTTTGGATTTTTTTGAAGTGCGGTACTTATCCATAGTCAGTGTATTATATACAGTAGAAGTCAGTCGGCATGCCCCCCAGTTGAAGAAGCAGACTGGAATCCGACATGGAAGCTAAGTAATGTACTGCTGTGGATGGGGGCCAACAGCAAAATGTATTTTAGCCACCTAAAAAAGTCCCACCTAAAAAAATCAGAAACGGTTTAAGTTTAAGCTACAGTATATTAAGAGTATTTTTACCATCTTACCTTGCCATCAGTCAGCTCATTCCAATGGGGAAAACGTTAACAGCTTCAGTGCCCCATTTATGCTCTTGTGAAAGCCACCAGACTCCATTAATAAAACCAATTTTCGCTCGTTCAACACGGGAGCTGCTGGTGAACCACTGCTTCTACCACTTAGCTATTGTGTTACTGTGTGACATCGGTGAATCCGAACTAACCACTTTTTATGCCAAAGTCACATGATAACACAAACATACTAATCGATCGAGGCAGTGGTAGACCAGCAGCTCCTCAGTACAGCGATGTTAAATCACTGTTTTTCTCAATGGAGTCTGGCTTTCAAGAGTGCGATGTAACGGTTTCTGTTACCCATCACAAATCAGTGTCTGACATTAAGGTAAAGCATTGAAAATACTCTAAATACAGCATACAGTTGAAGTGATATTGATTTTTTTAGGGAGTTATAATACATTTTGTTGCCGCACCATCCACAGCAGAATATTGCTTAACTTCCATGTCAAACTCCAGCCTGCTTCTCCGAACTAGGGGCATGCCAACTGACATCTACTGTACGTACTATATGCACTCAAATCAAGTAGCTCTACAATAAGAGATACTTTTATGGGTTCAAATATTCAAAAGTCTTTTGTGCAAAATGTTTCCCTCTGTGTCTTAAATTTGCAATACATGCAAAACTAAAGGAGGAAGCCTGTTACATTTATTTTGGGATTGTGCAATACTTATTTTGGCCTAATGATTTCAGTCTGTTTTCCAATGATTATAACAAACTATCCTCCCCAGCATATGCCATTAGCTTTAATGATGGGAACACTGCTTGCAAAAAAAGTGATTCAAAAACTGACTGGTTTAAAAATTGATTCTGTTAAATATTTGAAAAAATATATTATTTTAATAATTAAAAATGTCTCTTCATATGGGACAAATTTTCAACAATATCTTGGACAAGAAAACATCTGACATTTTCGAGAATTTAGTTGTAATATTACAAGAAAAATGTTGTCATATTTAAAGAATAAAGGGGAAAAAAAGTCTTCTGTATCAAATATTCAGTAACTGTACAATAGACAATCACACCTATGTAATGCAGTCATCCCAATCCAATCAAAATCATTTGGTTCACTTTATCATTTTATCTAAATTTAGTCTTTTCTTGAAAAATTCTGACCTAATTCTGGACATATTATACATTGTCAGGCGTTCCTGCATGCAGAGGGGAACGTACAGGTAGTTTTGTCCTGCTTTGATGCGATGGAAAGAAAAGAGTCCACAATTGAGCCACCACTGCCGCAGTGTGTTGTGGGTGAAAGAACGGGGGTATCGTCGTATTAGTGGCTCCACTGGAGGCCTGCAGACTTAATGCAGTTGCATCACACGCACGGCTGGTTACACTATCCACTGGGTTACAACACAATGATTTTTTAATGTGTGTTTGCAGTGAGTGTGCACATGCATTTACTATACAGGGAACAAAGGGGAGAGTAATTCCTCCGCCCTGTTTGCACCTACAGAAGTCAAGCATTAAAATAGACCTGACGCTAACTCGACCATAAAAGCAAGATGCTCAGTTGCTTGTTAAATACACACTGTTAACTCCCTGCTGTATCGGGAGAGTGAGAGCGAGCACTGGAGGCTGGTATCACAACCATCTATCTGATCTGTGTCTAGCAGAGAGCCTAGTTAATGGACCGGAGACAGACAGTGACGCTCTCACAGACAGATCCTGTTGTACACACATGGCTGTGCACAAGAGCACGCACACATGCACACACACACACACACACACACACACACAAGCCCCAGCCTGAGCTATTGACTGACTGATACAGACTCAGAAGGTATGTTACATACATCAGTACACCAGAGAGTTGCATGGCTCTGCTTTTAAACGCTGCTACAGTAAGGTATAAATAATAAAACTACTTCAGCGATGCAGATGCAATATTTGGCCTCAGGAGGAAGAAACTAGGAAACATGTGTTTCATTTCAGAATCACACTCATTAACACTTATTAATAAGCTCTTAATCAGGGGCGTCCTCTCAGTGTGATTAAGCTATTGATACAATACCTTGTACCAGCAGACGGGTAGTGTGGAGCACCTCTCCCTGGTCACTGTAGGCTCGGCATGTGTACGCCCCTCTGTCGTCTCTAGTGATGCCAAGGATGGTTAGACTGCCATCATGTACCTGTGGTCACATGCAGGGCAGACAGATGAAGTCTCTGACACAAACCATTAAAATGATAATGTGATAAACAACAAGTTTCAGGTTGTCAAATACAGTGGCAGAGGAAAACTTCAGATTAAAGGTCCAGCAGTTAAACGATTGGCAGAAAAGTAGCCTAACCAGCAGCAGTTTTGGTAATCAAATAATCATTTAAGTTGTTCTCTAGGCAAAAAAAAATCAAACTTCATTGATTCCAGCTTCTCAAATGTGGATATGTGCACCATTTCTTTGTCTTCTATGAAAGTAAATTGAATATTACCGCAGCGGTGCCTGGACAGTGTGACGTGTGTGGTTGTGCTGCTGCCGTGGTCCTGCCAGATGCCTCCTGCTGCTGCTGCCATCATTAGTCATTAGTCATACTTCTACTGTTATTATACACATATGACTATTGTCACACAAGTATACTGTCTGATATTAATACATACTTTCAACATATTGTACCACAGTAGCCAGAACTATAACTATAATATTATTACTTTCATTAATGTTGTTGTAAGCTACTGTCATTACCTGCATCTCTCTCTCTCTCTCTCTCTCTCTCTCTCTCTCTCTCTCTGTCTCATTGTGTCATATGGATTACTGTTAATTTATTATGCTGATCTGTTCTGTACGACATCTATTGCACGTCTGTCCGTCCTGGAAGAGGGATCCCTCCTCAGTTGCTCTTCCTGAGGTTTCTACCGTTTTGGTTTTTTTTCCCCGTTAAAGGGGTTTTTTTTGGGGAGTTTTTCCTTATCCGCTGTGAGGGTCTTAAGGACAGAGGGATGTCGTATGCTGTAAAGCCCTGTGAGGCAAATTGTGATTTGTGATATTGGGCTTTATAAATAAAATAAATTGAAATTGAAATTGAAATACTATCAAGATTTTTATTTCTGGTCTGACATAATAAGCAATATGTTGGATATTGTAAGAGGCATTTTTCACTACTTTCTTACATTTTATAGGCTGTAAACAAATAATTGCTAAATCAAGAAATTAACTGTCAGATTAAACAATAATGAAAATGATTGTTATTTGATCCTTTACTTGAGAAAAAGCAGCAATACCACATTGTAAAAAACACGGCATTACACTTAAAAGCGTTGCACTAATATGTTTCTTATGTACATTAGAAGCATTAATAAAGTATATTTATATGATCAAAAGTAAAAGTACTTCATGTAGAAAATGTGAGAGTTAAACTATTACACAGTAAATCATTAGATTATTCTGACTAATGCATTAATGTACTGTTGTAATTGCTTGAAGTGAAGCTGCTTTTTAACTAATTACATTTTTTAAGGGCTGCGCCTCATAATTATTTTCATTATTGATTGAGGCATATGTAATTTGCACCCAGGTGTGTATTCCCGGGTGTCCTATCAGCTGTTAAAGTTTATGTGCAGAGTGCCGTCAGCAGCTTCATACATCCTAAAAATTAAATGTAATATGTCAACTAAGTCTAAAATTTATAAGCCAACAATGACTCACACAGTGCCAGAGTCCCCATCTTCTGTTGAATGTCCCGGGCTTGACTCATTCAACCACTACATTTTACTCCCTCCATGGTCTGTGTTTCTCTTCGTACTACGTCACCTGACATTCAAGCAGTTTTTTTTTTTATTTGTGATTTTTTTTTTCTTGTAACTTTCCCACTTTATTTCTTAGAGAATATCTGAGACGAGGGGGGGGGAGAGAAATGTGACTATTCTCACTTGGGTGCAAACAGACACTCCAATCAGTTTAATTGAGTCTATTGTAAGTTTTTTTTTTAAAGAGAGGCAGAAAACATATTTGCTTGAGCAATTACTTCATTATATTCACCCTTCTTTGTGTAAAATCTTAGTTGCTGCCAAACTTTGAAGCAAAAGTACAATATTTCCCTCTGAAATGTAGTGGAACAGGTGTAAGGTGGCATACAACAGTACAGGTACCACAGACTTGTACTTTAGTAAATGTACTTAGTTACACACTCCCACTCGAGTAACTCTGCGGTGAGTCTCCAAAGAAAACACATCAAACACTTAAAAGTCATGAATGCGTCATGCTTTAATTAACTCTCCAGATCTGATTCCTGCATGTTGTAACCTTGGAAACGTCTAACCCCATGTTGCTGCGCGTCCCCGTGTGCAGCCTCTGATGAGAACCAATAAGTGGCGAAGAAACACATTAACCAAACCTAATAGAAAAACCCTCATAAATTATGCAACAGGTTGCGAGAGGCTCTGTCCATTCAAGTCACACACAGCTGTAGTCTGTCCATTCATGCAGCTGAGGGGGAATCTGCTACGCCTGCAGAATTATTCCTATTCATCTGTCTTCCCAATATTTTAGAGCCCAGAGATGCTACTAGCGGATTGACACAAGCTACATTTAACTTCTGTCGGTCTGCTGGCAAACTGCATCATCATCATCACAGGATAACACTTTGTGTTTCACTGTTGTGTAACATACGACACGTGTGGTGTGCTGAGAGCTCCGAGTGTAGCCTAAACACTGGAGTGTTGTGAAGCATCGATTTGTTGCTTGGAAGGAAATTTGTATTGATTTAAAAAAGTTAGAAGAGATGAATTGATTAAAACTGTCTTTATTTTAATTACACAGCTGCAGTAACTACTGTCTGGCTGATTTGGCATGTTCTGTGTTCCTGAACATACCACTAACTTTCACTGACTGGACATTGTGACACTTTTTAATTTCATTTTCACTGACGATGATGAAGATGTGTGTGTTTTGAATGAATGTGTCCTTATGTCTGGAATATGATTCATGGGCTAGGACCTCTCCGTAGCACCACAATTTTAATTTATAACAGTATGTTTTACTTTTCCCAAAAAAGCTTCAGCAATGTGGATATTGCCTTTAACCCGACTGCAATTTCCATAATATTTTGATTAATTGTGCACCCCTACATACAGCGGAGACCCACAAACTGCATTGCCCGCAAGCTAACAAGTAGCTTGCTCATTAGGAAATATGTGAAATAATCAAACTACACTCTCACTTAATGTGATGTGCCAAGTAGTCAGTGGTAGTGGTGCCCTAGGCGAGCCCCCCCCCCGGCGTTCTTCTTTTCATGTTCCTTCTCTCCACATCCACTCCTATCAGTAGTGCAGTGGTAGTTGAGTGGGCACCAGGGCGCTTTTGTCATTTTGACATGATAACGATACAGCGTGTTTCGGGGTTCGCATGTCGCACCCATCTCCCCCAGAGAACAGGTAAAGTGTAACAAGCTGGGGAGGGAACCCAGAAGGCCTTATGTAATAGTGTTATAGTATTACAAAAAAAAAAAAAAAAAAAATAGTAAAAAGAAGCAAAAGATTAACATTTTGAGCTTTTCTTCCTCCATTCGTGGCGGCCCCTATGAATGACGGCGCCTTTAGCATTCGCCTATACTGCCTGTGCCACAGGCCAGCACTGCTAATACAGTAATGACCTGCAAAGATTAAACTTCCTGACCAACCACTGTGTTGCTTTTTTTGTTACCAGTTTTTTAGCAAAATACTGCATAGCCAGCAGAGGTGTAAATCCCAAGTTTTGTCACAACACCACATTATACTGATTCTTTGGATAATTGCTGATATCACACAGTCAGTCACGATATGGTTTGATTCAATATAGGGGCCTGCAAGCTATATGAAGACAGTATCAGTAAATTGTCTTCTTCTTGGCTGCCATTGTCTGCCTGGTACTAGTCTTGCTTTGATGTTTGAGAAGAAAAAAATGGATGTTAATGGAGACACAGATTGCCATGGGAATTTCAAAATAAATGCGTATCTAAAGGATAACAACAATTTGTCGGTGAAGATTCTCAGTCATCCAGGTCATGGTAATCGTAAGTGCTATATCGTAGGCAACTGGACTTGCTTGTGTTTCTTGAAGACTTTTTCGCCTCTCATCCAAGAAGCTTCTTCAGTTCTAAATGACTGGTACAGAGTTGCAGGCTTTAAATCCTGTGTGGGTGGGAACCCCTGCAGAGTCGTTAGGGTCAAATGTGAGCTCTTAGTTTAGATAACAACAATGTTTTCACACTGCATCAATGACATCGTTGATCACTGAATCGATACATCTATCCAGGTTGATGTATTGTTACAACACTAACGACCCCAGTGTTGGGGAGTGACTCATTACATGTAACAGAATTATGTTGTAAAATTACAGAATAAATGCAATTGCAACCAGTTACAGTAACTAAAAAAATATGTAATTAAATCTAAATGTTGGTGATTAAAAAAAAGGTTACATCTAAATAAATACTTTTTTGTTAAAAATATTACATATAGAATATAACATTCATACTATTGCTTTGCATCTTTTCACTGTGCAGGTATGTCTTCTTTTGGTGTATTTCGGGTCAGCAAAGCCATTGGGACAAATTTAAATGCCACATTTATGTACTGATGCGTTTAGGACTTTTCAGCTTTATTGCCCTGTTTAAAACATTTGTTAGAAAACTAATAATAGTAATCAAATGTAATAAATTACATTACTTTGATGAAGTAATAAAAATAGTTACATAACTCATTACATGTTTAACAGGGTAACTCGAATCTGTGACGTATACATTTCAAAAGTGACCTTCCCATCACTGCCGGCAGGTGAATTTACCCTTATTTGCAGAAATCTTCTTTTTTCTAATCCTGGGATTTTATGACGCACTGAATTTATCAAACTCAAATTAAATCTCTTCCAGTGCAGACACCACATGCAGCAGTGACTGTAGCAGACTTACACAGACAGTAAACTGAACAGGACCTGATGATATGTAATGGTCATCAGTCCACTGCAATACTTTCTGTGCCAGAGCTGAACTCAATCCAAGGTGAGGGGGAGAAGATTAAAGAACAGGAGGAGGAGGAAGAGGAGATGAGGGGGGAAATGGGGACAGAGGGAAAGCAGAAGCAGTAGATAAGGTGAAGCATGAGATGAAGGCAGAATCTCAATTTGTGTCACACTTCACTGACACATCCAGAGAGACTGATACAGGCTTCTGAAACATCAGGAGGTTGCTGTTGTTTTTCTGCTTGCTTATCATCTGAGTGCACTTCAGGGAAGATCCTTATAATCCCACCAAGGCTTCCATCCTCTCCTCCAAAACTGTTTTGTTTAGTACCTTTGTTTTATGGCCCTTTTCTACTGTGCAAATAAAGTAATAAAGCAAAGAAAGGAGGAGACGGAGGATTCCTCCTCCTCTCCACTAACCCTGTCTGTCACATTCCTGCCTTTCTCCATGACGTCTCCATGGATCTGATCATGTGGGTGAGCAAATTTACCCTCGCACACAAACACACGCACTCTCTTCTCACCAGAGGAAGGAGCTTTCCCAAGTTTGTGCTCGAACATACACTCCGAGCGGCCAAATGGATGACGGCAGCTGATAAATGCTCTGCTTCAATATTTCCTCCGTACATAACAGTGCAGCTAGTGAAGTATGGCATCGGCTCTAACTAGATTTTCATTTTTAGTGTAACATTCATATTAGGACTAATGTAAAATTGATGCAGGAGAAGGAGATTAATAATGCATCAGAATGTTGTCTAATCATTTACTGAGGGAATGGTGTTAAAAGGAGGCAACTGCAGGGAGAGAAAAAAAGGGAAAATGAAAGAGAAAGGAAGAAGAGGCTCTTAACAGGCGCTGCAGCATGCTCCTGTCACTTCCTGTATCACACAGGCAGCTGTAAAGAGTTGATAGCAGCAGACTGCAATATCAGTGACATATGAGAACGTGAAGGCATGCAGAAAAAGGAAGGAGGCATCCACCTTTAGGAAAGTTCCAAAAATTATTACAAGCAGTGTGAAAAATGCCCTTTAGCACTACTGTTCTTATATTGCGTATTCAACATGTTATGTCTGCTGTGATTTAATTTTCTGTTTACCTTGACCTCCCTCGTTTGCTTCTAATTCCTGCTTACGCAAGAATGATAATCGCCAGAGTGCCGGTGTGAACTTGCTGCATTTGAGTACTCTCTCCAGCTCCACGTGTAGGTGGAGAGAGTACTTGTGGTAGTATAGTGAGAGCCAGAGAGCAAGAGTCTCTCCACTTGAGAAGAAGTGACATTTGCACCTTTTTACTCAAGATGCAAAACATCCCGTGGCTGATGCATCATCGTCTGCCGAAGCTTTTGGTGCTTGTGAGTCATCTGTAATGAAACAGCGTGTTAAATGTCTTTGATTCTATGCGACTAATGCCACGATCCAACCACCTGATGTTTTATTGTTGATGGTTTATGTTGCTTGAGACATTTCGCTGCTATCAAACCACACTGAAGAGGTGCCAGAAATATCTTGTCATGACATCAGACTGTCTGCTTCTGGGAGTTTATCCACAGGAATAAAAGTCATGCATCACCACACAACAAAGAGGGTTTAGAAATGTGAGGTGGGCTGCCAGTAGCTGTTCTTAACATTGTTTAAGTGAGTCAAGGTTTAGTTTTACAGGGAAGCAGGAAGAGCCTGACAGACAGTTTTACCGCTACGATCGTTGGCTGTTCTCATTAAGCAGTCAGATGTCTGCAAAATTTAACTTATTGTCAACTAAAACCATACAGAAATCAGTTGAAAAACTGAAATACATACTTCTAATTAACTGACTCTTCACTTAGCCCTGCCCCTCAAACACAGACTGGCCAATTATACCGTAGCATCGGCCACCTCTGACAAGGGTCTCATTTCAGATTTCAGGTTGGTTCTGTGGATTTCAAGCTAAAATCGTGCCTGTGGCATGTGTTTTAATGACATCCGTTACCTGGAGAGGTTGGAAGAAGATATACGTTTCTTCCCTGTTCCAAAACCAAATCACACCCCGAAAAATGTAGGGTTAGCTAGCTAGCCACTGAAGGTATAGCCTACTGAATGTATACATGTATTGATCTCTGACATATCACTACTGTCGGTAGTATGTGTATGGTCTGGGTAGATTGTAAAACTGATTACCCTTGTGGGATAAATAAAGTTGTCTGAACTGAACTGAACACATGCTACTTTTGCTTTTCGATTATTACAACAGTGAATAAAGACCTACCCTGCTCTACAGGAACCAGTGAAAGGAAGAAGGGAAACTCGATGACATTCAACCAGCTGTGTGTCATTGCAGTGTGTGCAGATGAATGGTATTAGGCTTCTCTTGGAGCTGCTGGACCTGCACCGCCAGACCTTGGCTGCTAAACCTCTGACGGCAGACAGAGCTCCAAGGGAAGCCAAACACCATTCGTCCGCACACATGGCGATGACACACAGCTGGTTGAATAACTGCAAAATTTCCCTTTATATTCATCGTCCTCTGTCTTGATCACCAGTGATGTTGTGGTTCACTTTTACACTGTCATCTGTATAGTTAGGCTTTAGCTTCAAACACATATTGCAGACCCCTCTGTCAGCTTCCCTTTGAAATCGCTTTTTCGTTTTTCCCAAAATTTGATAATATTTCTTCAGGGAATGCAGTTAGTTACAGTGTGGGCTCCATGTTAGCTCTGAAAACTTGATGGACCATCACAAAGGGGCGGGGCTTAGCGAAGGGCCAACTGAGAACGTCTTCTTAACTGTACTCTAAGAAACTCACAGGACCAAGGGCGATCTCAGCCAGCATTAGTGTCATGAAGAGGCTGCAGTGGGCTGAGTTGTAAAGTAAGGGGATACTGGTAACTATGGAACTCGAATACCTAAGAAATCCAGTGTTACCAGTAGTGCCATGCTAGCTTGTTGGGAAGGGAGCTAAATAACATGTTAGTTAGGCTCAAGGGGTACCCACAAGTCTCCCCTTTATAGACCCCTCTCCACTTTATGCTACTCACGTGCAGTTTTGAGCAAAAAACACAAAAGTTTTTTCCATGCATCACAAATGTTATTTTTGTCTATTGTATTTGAATATTTAAAACAGTATGGGAATTGCCACAAATGAGTATGACAAGACAGCTGAGACTCTAATGGAATCAGTGAGCCCAATTTAATTTATGTGTGATGATGTTAACCTCCATAGCAGCCATTTTATTGAAGTTAGACCATTCTTTTAAATGGACATCACTGTATAAAATGACCTGTAGTGACCTCTAGGATAGTTGCAGCGTCATTTACAACCACAAACTAGAGACCTCTGGGATTCAGAAGATGTAGCTTTCATAGGTATATTGACAATAAAGAGTTTTCTTAGCAGCTACCAAATCGGGAGTGCTTGTCATCTAATCCAATTCTAAAGAAAATCTCACAAAAAATTCAAATGTTTTTGATACTAAATCACAGCACAGATTTTTTATGAGGTGTTCCTAAAGGTCTTGGTTTCTTAATGTAGTATTTTGTAGAGATTTTTGACCATTTTAATCAATTCTCAAGTGGTAAAAATGCTTTAATTTAGCACCAAAACTGGGTAATAAAGACATAACTGAGTCGTGAATTGTCATCATATACTTCCATGATAATGTTCTAAGCCCCTATACACTTTGAGCTTTAAAAGTTTGAATAGGTGCCTAACCAACACAGTGTTTGTTACATATTTTTGAGTAAAAAAACTTGCTTTGCTGTATCTCTTAAACCTCAGCTTTCAGATGATGTATATCACGTCTATGTGGCATAAACTTCTGTTCTACTATCCCCCCCCTAAAGATCCCCTATGGTGGGTTTTCAGTGGTTAACTAACTGTAAGTTTCATTTTTTGTTGTCCTTTGGCCTAAAGCCTCAGCAATACACATTTCAGAAGCATGAGCGTATATATTTAGGGTTTTGTCACACAAAAAAAGGGCAGCAAAACAACAGAAGAAGCTGATATTAGCCTGAGTGAGACAGAGTCCATAACATACTTCCAGTACAGATGGACTCAGTGGATAACACCATCTGTGCACAAACCCTGCTTCTATATTTGCACACAATCATAAATTAGAATTATGCCCATTATTCATCATCAGTCTTACCGAATATTTTGCATTGGTAGCGAGCTCCTCCCCCTCCCTCAGCCAGCTGATCATTGGTTTTGGATTTCCCTGGGCAGAGCAGCTAAGCAGAGTGCTTCCCCCTTCCTTCGCCTCCACATACTGCGGCGGCGTCGCTGTAAATGTAGGGGGGGCTGTGGGCAAAGGGAAAATAGGAATCACGACATCAGTTATGAAATCTTAAAGGACAACAATAATCATTACACTACATTAAAGCCTCGTGCCTGCTGTTGTGTTTGAGTTTGAGATAATGTTTGTTTTCATATGCATCTTTATATAGACTTTCAGCCACACTAGCAGCTCTATGGAGGGCAGTGTCAGTCGGTCCACCACTTAAGTCCAAACTGAAATATCTTAACTATTGCGATGAAATTTTGTACATTTTGTACCTGAGGATGAATCCTAATGACTTTGGTGATTCATTAACTTTTCATCTAGCAGCATCATCAGGTTAAATTTTGAGTTGTTCAATACTGAAAAACCTGCAAAACTAACGACATTCCCATCAGTCTCAGCTGTACTTTGTGTTCAGCACTACTTAGCAATATGTAGCAAGCTAACACACCATACTAATACGGTAAATGTTAAAATCATCAGCATTTTAGCACTGTCATTATGAGCATGTTAGCATACTAATGTTAGCATTCAGCTCAAAGAGCTGTTAGACTTAGGCTGTAGAGTCCAGCAAAATATGATGAGCATAGGGATGTTGAAACTCTTGATCTTGTTTTGCATATGATTTCTGGATTTAAGTCAACTCTTTACTTACTTCAGCTGCAAAAATGGACCAGTTAATCAGGACACAGTGTACTCTGTGGAGTGATGTACTATATTCTATAGCTTAGAAGTACAAATATAACACGCACAAGTCAAAACAGCACAAAGCTGCCTCCAAGGGATCAAGTCCTCATCAACAACAGTTAAAGTTACCCGTCACATACACATAAGCAAAACAATCTCTCAGTATATGTAAGACGTCAAATGCAAGTGATTACATATCAACAAACCAGCAAAGCCTACATAATTTTATGCATAATCAATGATAACAGATTCAGAAAAATAGAAATGTATGGCAAAGTAGCATGATGTCTTATGCCCAGTTCAGACTAAAGATTCACGATGAGACGAGTTGAAACAGGAAACTATTTGCAACGCGCTGTTCTGCAACGTTCTAAAATCCTGCCAGTTCACACCAATGCAACTAGATGAGACGGAGTACCATCTCTATGCAACAACTCTCTGTACCTCCATTCTGATTTCCAGCTTTTCAGGCTTATTTTGTGGCTGAACATAATTTGTAGCTTCTTAAAATATGAATGAGGATAGTGATAGTGAGATACTGGCTACAGTTGCATTTGTGGTAGTGATGAAACGGTGGAAACCAGAAACAAAAGGAGCATTAGATGGACTGTATTCATAATCAATACGGGACAATAACATATATATATATATATATCCAGCGGCAAGTAATCGGTCAGTGAGAATATGTGTGTACTTTAGGTTCTAAAACCAGCTGCCAATGATTAGACCAGCAGAGTTGCGGGTGACACCATCAGCCAGCTTTAGTCGAGCTCAGACTGGCCAGTTCACACCGCTGCAACTTTTCTCTGCAAAATTCTTAAACGGTTTCATCTCGTTGCTAATGTTTGGTCTGAACTGGGCTTTAGAGACCCCCCAAAATTTCACAAATCATGTTTTCAGAGGAGCTCGTGTCTTATTAAAGGAGCCAAGCTCCACCCAGCTGTCCTGTAATCTGCACCCTGGATACCATTATGTTGGCAGAGATGACAAAATTATATCTGACCTTATAACCACAGTTTGACAAAAGACTTGTCGGCATAGGCTTTTTACAAATGTAAAACCTTCATGGTTTACAAATACAAACATTAATAGCTGACCTTGTTTGTTTCTGTCAAAAACTTCTTTTTTTTATAGCAGTGGTCCATGAGGAAAATGCTTTCTGGGCCACAGGGGATTTTTTTGTTGCAGTGCTGTTGGTGGCCATTGGGACAAAGTGGCATCAAGGCTGAGCAGCAGTATTCAGCTCTCCTAACACATGCATGAGATAACGGGTGATGCCACAGCTTTCTGAAACAGTGAGACACCACACTGAACAGGGACAAGTGATGCTGACAACCATCCCTCCGTGTTGCCATTTATTCTTCACAACCTACAGACACCACTTAGCAGCATCACTGCATTTCCACCTGATGTTTCTGAGCTTCACTAACAGCCACAGGGGAGCTCTTCCCCACCTACTGCAGGCCAATAAACTGTAGTTCCCTCCGCCAGCTGCTTTCAGTGTTTCAACATAATATTTTGATTATAAATAGTGGCACTGTGTTTAGTAAAAGAGGAGAAAAAAAAAAAGGCGCCGCTATACAAGTGGGTCACCGCTTGCCGCTGGGAGTGCTGCCATGCTTCAGACTGCACACAAGCACCTGGCATGGAGTAAACAAATCGCCCAATTATCACGTTTAGACATCTGCCTGTCCATACTGCCCTCTCACTCTCTAACACTCATCACATTAGATGATACAGTAGACTGATGGAGATTAAATGCATGACTGGTTTATATATTGCTTACTCATGTGATTGACGGGTCAAGAGTTACATTAAAACGATCATGATGCATCATTATAGTTATCAATGGGCAACATGCTTCACTTTGAGTTTGTGCTTTAATCTTAAAATATTTTACTAATCCTCAATGGTAGCTATGATCAATCTCTATTATATAAAGTTTCCCTCCAGACACGCTGTGAAATAACTATACTGATCTGTTGTTGGAATACAGGAAGTGGCCAAACCGAGTGTAACATGGGCCCTTCACATCATGGGGGGATTGGGTTGTATCATTATTTGGAGATTTTGTTTATTTCTTTAGAGTATATTAGTTTGTTAGGGATTTTTTGGTAAGCTAATAACATATTTGAACTGATACTTATTGAAATGCCTCCGCGGTGAACAAAGAATCCAAAAATGGAGGAAATTCTAGATGAAAAGGAGTAAAAGGTGTTACAACTGTAAAACTACATCAAAACATGTGTTCACAAACTCTGTTGGCACAAATGCATGTGTTTGGTAAGTATTGAGCATATAACTGGATACTTGAATTATACTGCACAAGTTGTGTGAGAGTTTATAAAATTATGTTTTGATAGAGTTTTGCTGTTGTTACATGCACCCTGTCTTTACTCCGGTTCATCATCATTTTCTGCATTATTGGATTTTTTTTGCACACCAGAGGCATGCAAGAAATACAAAGTCTTCTTCACAAATTCACGAGTAACTGATTTTTGATTGATTTGTAAGTGATTTTCTGGTTTTAGTATTGCAGCTTGAGTTTAGTTCTGTTTAGTTGACCCCTCTGATGGGCCCATTGCATTGCATATGTTTTGTTATACCTTATCCTTATCTGCTGTGAGGGTCCAAGAACAGAGGGATATCATATGCTGTAAAGCCCTCAGAGGAAAACTGTGATTTGTGATACTGGGCTTTATAAATAAAACTGAATTGAATTGAACTGAATTGAACTGAATTGAATTGAACTGAATTGAATTGAACTGAACTGAATTGAATTGAATTGAATTGAATTGAATATTTTGTAAATTTTGTTTCATTTTTGGATAAATAAAACCCTCTTCTTAAAAAATCTACTGTACCTGTGCTTCCTCATGCCTCCCAGCTCAAAAGCCTCTAAAACATTTTTTTCTTGCAGAATTTAATCACCTCACAACCCCTCAGATTTAACTGGTGACCCTTTGCAGGGGCCCAACCCCTCAATTAGGAACCATTGGACTAAACTACAAAACAGTATAAAAAGTAGGTAAAACTAACTCTACCATAACCAGCTACAATAGTAAAATGCATTGGCATCATTAATGTAATATATTACAATACATTGGGGATGATTTTCTGCTGAATGAGTATAGTTTTAATACTTAAGATAAATTTGGAAAGGCATTCACTTGTAATGAAGTATTTTTACACTGTGGTATTGGTACTTCTGTGTACTTCTTCCACCACTGTAAATTCTGTTATTAATCTTAATCCTAATTCAGATTTTTCACCAGGGATTAAGCATCCGTTGACAGGAAATAGGTGGCACACATGGCGGTGACAACAGCAGGTACATTGGTCAACCTGGGAGTTGTTTCACACCACAGCTCGTCACAGACGAGGTGTCACCACGGCTGAGAAACCTGGGAGTTGCTCTACAAAAAAAAAAGTATCACATCTCGCCCTACTTACTGCAGCTCTTCATCAATTATATACATTAAAAGACGCTTGAAGATCTTACCCTCCCACTGTTTTTCTTTGTAGACCACACAGCACATCAGCAGATGGCCTGGATGCTACAGTCAGACGCAGGGTTCGGCCTGTTCTTTGAAGGCTTACATTCGCAAGTTACTTCCTCACTAACTCCAGAGTGCGTCTGCATTTTATTCCCTCACTTGGTCTTTCTTTTCTTGTCTCTGCTCCTAAGAGACTACGGCTACATAGAGTACACGTTTTTCATTGATTTCACATCATGAGCCTCAAACGTGTAACGTGTGTTTCAGTGTAAACTGTTGCAGGGAGAAGAAAGAGGCTCTCAAGGAGACATTCCTCCCTCTTCTAACATAAACAGGTATCTGGATTGTAATATGTTTTAATTAAGAGAAGAAAAGATGAACTGACTTCCCACACTCATATCCTACCTTTAAAGGCCAAGACACACCAAACCGACATCAAAGAACTGGTTGCAACGAAGGCTGATAGTTGCATAGCCTCACCTCGCCTGTGTCTTGGCCAAAAAGATGTACTGAACACACTGCAGAGACTACAGCCAATTAGCACATAGGTTCTGCGCCTGTGTGAGAGAAAATAACTCTCCATTCCAGCAGGCGGCCGTATTCTGTATTTGTCCCTCCAAAAAGGAAACTGGAAGAACGACAGGATGGATTCAACACACTATTACCCAGTTAGCAAATTAAAAACACAGGCTGATGTTAAAAGAAAAAGTAATATATAACAAGGGCTGCCCACCAATAACAGGCTGAATCAGCTGAAAAAAAGTCGACAAGGGCTGATAAGTGCCAGCAGTGCAGGACACACCACAAAAACTAGGTTGACAGACGTTCATCGGCAGCCTGAAATTGACCAATGGCCATCTGTTGGCTTGGTGTGTTGAGGCCCTTATGGTGGGATCACATGTTACAATAGTGTTGACTGTCAGGCGATTATAGAGCCATAAATTCTTGTCATGACTACACACTGGACATCGACCAAACATATATATGACAGTGACATTCATGTAAATAATACAGTAAATGAGCAAACAAAGCTAACAACCAATTCGAAATGTTAAAACAATAACATTTTTTTGCCAAAACCAGATATTTCACAAAAGCTAGTGTCTGTATCATATGAAGTTGTTTTGAGCTTTTAAAATCACCACTTCTATGCAGACGGCAGAAGATAATGTTCTCTTAAAGATTGACTGGGCAAAGCTCTTTTTCCTCTGGGTAGCTGCCTCTGTATCCGCAGCTGTCTGTACCAAAGACTGCCTTGAAAGCAGGGGGCGCTCATTCTGCAGCCAAACCTGGTGACTGAAATGTCCCCAGAATTAACAAAAACTTCAACTGAGAGGTCACGACTGATGATACGAATGTTCGACTTAAGGGAAAGCCCTAATCTATATATATA